ATCTTGGAAGAGAGTTGTCTGAGATTAGCCTGGCTGGCTAATGGGAATTTCTCTTCCATCTTCAGGTCCCAGGACCACCACAGGTGAGGCCTCATCTGGAAAGCAAGGCTATTCATGTTCCTCTCTTCCAGGGATGCCTTACTCCCTGCCCTTCTCATTGCTTCCCATATTGGGCCTTTCAGCAATACTGATGCCATCATTCTCTCTTGTGGGGCCTCCTTGTTGGTGGGGCGACATGACCTGTTGACCTGACTGGTATTTGCAGCCATTCCCACAGCAGGCATTTGAGAAAAGCAGCCTGAGTTCTAACTGGAACCCAGCTTCTGGGTGAGCTGTTTTACACACCACAGAGCCTCTCTGTGGCTGAGTCATCCGAACTCTAAAAGGGAAATAGAAGTCAGCGTAATTGGAAACTTCATCCCATTGGTAAAGATTAGCAGGTAAATGCAGAGGATATAAAAGATGGGTGTAGCATTATTATCAAAAATAGCCATGAGAAGATAGACTGCAGAAAGATCTAGCAGGAGCTTGACAGAGGATGGACATTGTGGTACAGGGGCCCAGAGTCTGCATATGGATGGGGCTGCTTTCTCCCAGAAACCTCCTACCCCTTGGTCTTATCTTCTCAGTTTTCTTCATGGACTTCTCTTCTCACATCTTCCCCTAAAAGTCTGGCACTCCCAGGGCTCCCACCGCCACCCTCCTATTCTCACTTCATGCTCTTTCCCTAAGTAACCTCACCCATTTTCACAGCTAAAATAACCGCCATGTAGCCCTGACCAGTTTGGCTCAGTGGATAGAGCATCAGCCTGCGGACTCAAGGGTCCCAGGTTCGATTCCAGTCAAGAGCATGTACCTTGGTTGCGGGCACATACCCAGTGGGGAGTGTGCAGGAGGCAGCTGATCGATGTTTCTCTCTCATCGATGTTTCTAACTCTCTGTCCCTCTCCCTTCCTCTCTGTAAAAAATCAATAAAATATATTTTTAAAAAAATAAAATAACTGCCATGTGCTACTGACAAGGAAAATGGTTGTCTGACTGACCTCTCTTCAGAGATCTTGAGCAGTTGACGTCTCCACCTGCTGAACCAAATGCAATGACACTCAACGGATCTAAAGTGGAGTTCACCATCTCTCTCTTCTCACCCCAAACCTGCTGTTCCCCTGAATTTTCTGTCTTCTCTGTATTTTCTATCTCCCCAAACCTGAATCAAAGGAACCATTCTGATTAGGCTCCTTTCTCTCTCTGACTCCCTGTTCTTCCCTTATCTTCACGGACTATCAATTCACTTCCTTTCCTTCTCTGCCACTGTCCTCCCAAGCTGTCTCCAAGGGCTTGGACTCATCGCCTGGACTCCATCCTCACAATCCTCCAGTCCAGCCTCTCCACTGACAGTCGTCATCTTTATAATACATTCATCTGACTAAGCCTCTACTGCTCCATTTCAGCAGCTTCGCATCACCCACAAAATGAAGTCTACCTTCTCTGTTTCAGAATTACAGATCTCAGTCATCTGACCCCTGGCTATTTGCCCTGCCTTGTGTCTAGCCATTCTCTATCATTCACCCAAGCATTTGCTTGACCCCAAAGGCTCTCTTAGACATGTGCTTTATTTATATACTGTTCTGACTTCCTGTGATGGCTTCCTCAATATGGTCTGCCCAGTGATTCCAGTTTTATTGCTACTGTGAAGCTATCCCTCACTCCCCAAGCCAAGTTCCGTGCCCCCTAGAACTTGGAGTAGACTTAGCATTTGTTCTGCAGCTGTTATAATTTTGTCTCTCCAGATTAAAAGTTTCTTGACGGCAAGGACATGTTTTCTTCACAGAGCTCGGCCTCTATAGCAGGCATTCAATAAATGTAGAGTGAGCAAATATCAGGATGCCCACACCTGGCAAGGAAGTCATCCCAGCACATAGCAAAACATCTTTCTCTCTCACACTGCATGAGAGTGACTTTCTAGTCTGGGACCTCCACTGGGGTGTCCATCAGAAGCAGCCCAGATGAAGCTTAAACGGCGCTGTGCCAGCCAGAAATGGGAGCCCAGGAGGCATGCATGCCTTCAATCACACATCAGCTCCTCCAGGAAATAGTCCCGCTTCTCCCCACTTCTCTGTGTCTGCCAGCCATAGCCCCAGCTTTGCAGAATGAAAAAGGAAGGTCTGAGGTGATGCTAGGTGGTTCTTAGCTTTGCATCCAACCATGTAGCACCTGGACCATGAGAAAGGACCTGAGCTTTTAGTTAGAATTCATTTCTGACCATCATCTTACAGAATCTAGCATCCAAGTAGTGGAATGAATTCCTGGCTTGGGAGGAGTCAAATAGGGAGGGCACTCGGTTCTCTGGTTTGTTTCCCCTTTAATGGTGTTTTGTTTTAATCCTTGGCAAAGGAAAGTGCCTCGCCGCCAGCCCGCGAATGAAGGTTAGTAGGCTGTGTTCTTGGGAACTGGGATTTCCTCTTCTTTGTTCATCAGGTCACATTGCAGGAAGGGAGAGCTGTTTAAGCGCCCAACACTGAGCGAAGCACTGAGGTGCTTGCTGCACAAGCCGAGGCACATGTACCTGCTCCAGAGACTAGAGCCAAGAAGAGCTTACGCTTCCCACAAACATATCCAGAAATAAGGCTTCAGGAAGGCCTACTTCTCCATGCTCCGAAGTTGTGTGGGAACCTTTTCTAGAAAAAGAGCTCCCAGTGGCCTGCATTTTGACAATATGAGTGAGGCAGGCTCTTTCTTTCCTCTAACCAAGGGGATTCTGGCTGTCAAATACTTTCATGGAAAGGAACTAGCTCTGATTAAACTGAGACTTGCCAAGACTTGTACCCCACTCTCCCCGACTCAAAACACTATATTGTCACCTTGGCTTATAAGGCACCCAGTTTAAAAAATAATAATAATCATAAAGCACCCAGTTTTCAACATGATTTAGTAGCTCAGGATTCTGTTTGTTTAATCGTAAGTGGGTTTTGCATGATTAAGCTATAGGGCACCCAGTGAAAATTTGGCCCAGGAAGTTGCTCCATATTCTTTTGTGATGAATTGTGCCCAAATGTGGCATAGGTGTACCCAGACTCCTTTAAGTCATGATCATTGAGTTTTCTAAGTAGCAACTTGGGGCTTTTCAATGATGTAAGTAGCAAACATGAACCCTGGTAACAAAGTGGTGACATGTCATTGGCCTAAAAGCTGGTGCTGTAGCTATTTGCTGCTCACTCTGCAGAACTATGAGCATTGTTTTAACTGCAACGAAAATACGGTGAAAATAAAATCTGATAAAATAGCTCCAGGATGTCACAGGAGGAAAAGCACCTTCTGGGCTGGCAGGTCCTGGATTCTTGATCCAGTCGCAGTTTGAGTTGAGGAGGATGTAAGGGGTTGGTACTATGTGCCTGAGGAAGACCTTTCTGTTTGTGGTTAATGATGATCCCAAGGGGGCTGCATTTGTCACAGTAGAATGAAGGGCTCCAAGCACAGAATCAAGTGATTTCTTGCCTGAGATGGCTGAATCTGTTCTTAAAATGCCATTGGATACCCAATTCTATTTCTCCAGAAATTCTCCATCTTTGGCCTTCCCGTTACTGCAAATCAAAAGGTAACCTCACCAGACGACCCTCCCCTCCTATATCTTTGAGTTTCAGGAGGTCATCCTATACCCTCATTCCCTAAGCCTAGGTTTGGCTCACCTAGGAGGCAGGGCCTGATTTCAGAGTAGGTCAGGCAGGCCTCTTTAATCAACCCCAGTTATCTGCTTTAAACATTGAAAAATTGGGAAGTTTCCACTTACTTGGGAGTTTTTGTGGTCTCTGTCAGTGCCTCAGAATAAAGCACTTAGCAATAGACAGTGTCTTGTGATCAACATGGTTAGGAATGGCTAGTACTTTGTAGAAAGCATGAATAACTTTTACCAGTGCTTCAGCATTTCAGAGTACTTTGCAATCACTGTTTACTCAGCCCTCTCACTGATAGGCTGTTTGGTCCTCATTTTACAGGAAGTTGATACACTGTAGGAAAAGCTGGGGTTCAGGAGACCTGGTCCTCTTCCCATTTCACCATACTCTGTGATCTAGAATTAATGACTTAATTTTGCCATCTGTCTGAGTTAGGGGTGGGAGAAGATGATTCTAGAGACTTCTCAATTTGTTCTGGTTGTAGCAAGGTAATAATTCTCCTGTGGATTTTCAATAGTTACTATTTAATTTCCCTAATTCTAGAATCCCGAAGTTGGGGTTTAATTTAGATGTGTTTTGGAATTTCCATTATCCTATGATCTGGCCAATCTTGGGACCTTTCAAATCCTGATATATAAGTGGTTGACATTCAAGGAAAATGTCAGAGACATCCAGATGCATCCCATAGCTTGGAGAAATGCTTTTGCCACGGGAGTATAGGAAGGAAGGAGAGTGATCAGGCTAAGAATGAAAACAACTCCACCCATGGTGGTGATGGGGTGTCTTAGCTGCCTGGTTTTTCTCTCATTGGAGAAGCGGAAGAAACAGTATGTGGACATCTGCACTGAACTTCAAAAGAAATTTCCTTGAGGATGAAGACTCATCAAACGGAGTTTTAAGATTTTAAGTCAGTTCTTTCCAAATCAGTAATGAAGTAGTCCGGCTAAAGCAGTGGCCAGTTTTGGGGTCATGAACCCTTTTTGGAAATCTTACAGAAACTATGGATGTTTCTCTGCCAGAAAAACTACCCACATATTCACAAATTGGGATATACTTTTAGGGAGCTCCTATATGCCCTGAAGCCCATGGACCCGAAGTTAGCAATCCCCTGATCTAAAGTGGTGAGTCAGCAGGGCTAGACCGAGAAGGTCAGGGCTAGACCCAGACTTCTAAGCCCATAATTTGCTGCCAAAATTAAACTAGTAACAAAGTTTTGTGGTTTTTTTCCCCTCTGACCATCACCCTCTTCTTTCTCTATCCCCACACCTTTTGTCATCTCTTCTCGTGCCCTCCCAATGTCTCTCCCCACCTCCTGCGCATCTTGCACCGCAGATGTTCCAGCCTGGTTAAAAAGCCTCCGCCTTCACAAGTACGCTGCGCTGTTCTCCCAGATGACCTACGAGGAGATGATGGCCCTCACCGAGTGCCAACTGGAGGCTCAGGTACGTGCTCCAGGGACCGTCCCCTGAGGAGGTGCCCTGGGTGGAACTCGAAGTTCAAGTCCAAGACAGATCTTGTTTGGACCCATTCCTATACCTTCCTGGTAGCTGTCTTCTTTGAGGAATTGCCAGGTTCTGGCCAGGGTTGCATGGTGAGTAAGGCTAGGGTCTTGCCTCCAGGGTCCAGTAGGAAATGGAAGACAAGCAGATAGCCACAGGGCAAATGAGGGTAAGATAGAGTATCATGAAAAAGGTACAACCTAGGTACGCTCACTAAGTTCAAGGGTGCTAGGGAGGAATCGGTGGCATCTCCTAGAAGCGGAACATTTGACCAAGGTCTCAAAAGAGCCTATGTCCTGCTTTTGCTTTCCTTTCCTCCTTCCCTCTGTCCAACCAGGGTGTGTTCGGGGAATGATAGAACGGTTGGTTGTCTGTTGTCCGGTCTGGTTACAAATCAACTGAGTTCTAGTAATTACTGAGCAGAAGCACCAGGTCACGCCTCAACACTTGTACAAAAGCATGTTCTGACTGGTCTTAGCTGAGATTGGAGTAAGCTGCACAATATTTTTTCCCTCTAACCACCTTCAATAACGCAGGACAGTTATTGAGATGGGATTCCCTCAGGTCTCAGATTTCATTTCCCTTCTGCGTACCACAAAGGACAAAGCTCCTCCTTCCTTCTAAGGCATATTTCCCCAAGTGCGGTTGCCAAAGGCCAGGCCAGTCAACAGAACCCCCGAAACTAAGCATGTTTCCTTCCACGCTGTGCTCGAGTAAATAGATCTGACTGATGTCTTTGTTTCCCTTGTTTAAAATGCTATTTGCATGTTTTAAATTGACCTCGGTTTCCTTTGAGCAGTGACTTAAAAGAATTAATGGTCTGAACAGGCTAATAGTATTTCCCCTGCAGGAAGAGGAGATTGTGCCATTTGGGGCATAGCTGGTCTGAACACATACCTCCCAGCAGATCGCTGGACTCCCAGTACGCATCCAGTTCCCTCAGTTAACCTCTGCTGGCCTGGCTGGATACCAATATTGAGATGCAAGGCAAAACCCAAAGTCACTGCACATTCTCTGAGAATGAAAGGCACTCGTTTCAACTTCCTAACGCTTCTCCCTCTGCTTTTTCATCTCGGTTGCTCCTTGAGGTCCCAGGAATTGATGAGAACTGCTTCTAAGAGCATTTTTTGTCTTTGGGTCATAGTTGAGAAAAAAATCTAAGTCATCAAAGTTGTTTGACTTCAGGAAAAACAAAACAAGGAATAATTGATGCAGAGGGCAATGCCAGAGGCCAGCACAAACTTTTCAGAGTGATTTCATTCACTCTAACCAAAAGTCAAGGCTAAACAGAAATATGTCCCCGGTGCTTCATCTTGAGAATGAGTTCAGTTGTCAGTTGACAACTTAATTTTTCTAAGTAAAGGAGATGTCGCTGGGGTTGCCATGTTTTCCTGTTTTAAGAGGAATGCTATGAAGAGTTGTAAGAAGTTTGTATTAGAGACCTCATTTCAGAAAGAACCTCCTATTTGGGAATTTGCAGTATGCGTAGTTAACAAGTGTTAAACTAAAACCTTCGGCTCATCATTGCTGCACAGTTAAGAAGATAAGATCCACCACCCTGTGAATCCTAATCATTTACCTGAAGTGAGGACTGAATTGTAGGTTTAAGTTTCCTGACAAAAACTGCCTGTGTGTTGTGACACCAGGTGAGACCTGTACTGGACTTCACATCTTCTGGAGATGGGAAGCATAGGAAAGATTAGAGGAAGCCATGAGTATCTCTATGGGGTTGGAACTCCAGGGAACCCTTGGGGGGGGAGCCTGGAAAAGAGAAGTGTGTGACTTAAAAATGATCTGTTAAGACTATAAAGATGCCCTGGCTGGTTTGGCTCAGTGGGTAGAGCGTCGGCTTGTGGACTGAAGGGTCCTGGGTTCGATTCTGGTCAAGGGCATGTACCTCGGTTGCAGGCTTCATCCCCAGCCTTAGTCAGGGCACATACGGGAGACAAACAATTGTTGTCTCTCTCATGTTGATGTTTCTCTCTATCTCTCCCCTTCCCTTCCACTCTCTCTAAAATTCAATGGAAAAAATACCCTCAGGTGAGGATTAACAAAAAACAAACAAGCAGCCCTAGCTGGTTTGGCTCAGTGGATAGAGCATCAGCCTGTGGACTGAAGGGTCCTGGGTTCAATTCCAGTCAAGGGCACATGCCCAGGTTGTGAGCTGGATCCCCAATAGGGGGCATGCAGGAGGTAGCCAATCAATGATTCTCTCTCATCATTGATGTTTCAATGTGTCTCTCCCTCTCTGAAATCAATAAAAATATATTTTAAAACAAACAAAGAAGACTGTGAAGGAATTTCATGCGAGGTGGGGTAATTAGCTATTCCAGCTTTCTCTCCCTCTCCTGAAGGTTACAGCAAAAGACACAGGCTTGGGTGGAGCCAGATGGAGTTAGACTCTTAAGCAGGAAGAGGTTTCTAGCAATAGGTGCTAATGGGAGAGACAAGTAGAGGTCTACTAGTCTGCAAACCTGTAGGAACAAAGCAAGCAGTAAAGTACTAAATAGCCTCCCAGTCTCTAAGCTAATTCTTAAAAATGTTTTTTAAATATTACTTTAATTTAATTGCAGAATGTTACCAAAGGTGCAAGGCACAAAATTGTCATCAGTATTCAGAAGCTCAAAGAAAGACAAAACCTCCTGAAGTCTTTGGAAAGGGTAAGTTATTCCCGGCCGAGGGGACGTTCCCACCTTCATCACAGGGAAATGGACCCGGGACTTTCCTCAGTTGGAAAGTGTCACTGGCAGACCTGATAGAGTGTGTCATGCTGTTTCCTTATCAAAGTTAGGGAAAATGGCATGATTTTGAAGCGAAGCCTCATGGCTATTCATGCTTCCATGTAACCTGACTACTGAAATGTACTTGTTCCCGGGGTCCAGGCAGCCTGTAACTGGCCATTCCAGGCACAGAGGAAGTGCTGTCAGATGAATTCTTTGTGTACATTCCCCTCTGCCTTTTGTGCATGTGGAGAGATTAGAGAAGAGTTCAGCCCACAATCAGAGGCTGAAATCCTGACAAAACAGTGCAGGGAGTGTGCAGATCTGCCTCATGCCTGCTCCGCCCCCCCCCCCCCCCCCCGCCCCAGGGAAGGACCTGGGTTTGAGGAAAGCTGCCCCAGAGGGGCCAACACAAACAGGTGTGCCCCAGGTCCCACTAGAGAGGGGATCAAAGTCACTTGGCAGACGGCAGCGCTGGCTCTCCAGAGAGTAATTTCACACTTTCACTGAACAACAGAATAGGTCCTCATGACTCGGATAGGAACCATCTCAAAAATGCCAAATGCTGAAAAAGAGTTTATTCCAGTGTTAAAAGCAGTTATCAGCTGCTACTGTCCCTCTGTGTTTGCTGTCTAAACACATTCTCGTCCTATCTTTGTATCTAGACATCACTCTGGAAACGATGTCATTTTTAGGACTTGGTGACTTTATGATTTCATCTAAGGGCCAGAGGAGAGCAGGCCTGGTTCCACACACAGTGAGCTGTCTGCTCTGCCCCAGAGTCGCTATTCCATGCACTACTGTTGGGTGGCGGTGGGAGTTCAGTAGTTATCTGCTGCCTGCAGAGCTCCAGTGGTAACCTCGTTAGTTATCTCCCAGGCGCCTTTGGAAGGGAGCAAAGTAGAGGTAGGTAGGGCTAAAGTGAGGTTTGTGAGCACATACACATTTTAATGCAATGGGAGGTGTGTTTTCTTGACTTATTCACAAAATGTGTGTATACTTTTACATGCCGTATATAGTTATAGTTAATGCATAGCCCACACCATAGAAGGTAAGGTATATTTATAGAACATGCATGTATGCTTTCTAAGGAAGGTTGCTTTTAAAGCCTCTGGATGGATACACAGAGACTACTCACATGCACATCCAGGCCCGTTCACAATTAGCTCATCACGGATGACGGTGACCTGTGCAACTGACCTGGAGGTTATTGCTGCTGTTCAAACTTCTACGCTAACTGCTTTACTAAGCAGCTTGTCCACCAGAGTGACTGTTGCCATTTTTAACACAAGAAAGCATTCTCTTTTGGGAAGCATTGAAAAGGCCAGTTTTGGCCTTATCTGTTAGGAAGCACAGAGAACATTTTGCGTAGGGATTGCATTGCTAAGTGTTACGGTGAAAGAGTGATTTACCCCCTTTGTTTCTGGAGCATCCCTCAGGAACTCATTCCTGTCCCGTCACTGAGGAAACACACGCAGAGACAGAGAGGTGGAACTGCTGTGAGCTGTGCTCCCTGTGGCCTGGGGCCGAATCAGTGTGTGGAAGCCCCAGGGCAGCCAGGTAGCCCGTGCGGCCCTGACATGCCCCTGACTTCCCATCTAACCTTTGATGCATCAGTGATGTTTTCTGCCTCCCAGACTTCACACCTAGAATAATATTGACTCTGCGAAATGACTCTCCACTGGAATGGGAATGTCGAAAAGATGACAGGTGTGATACGGGGTCTGAGGGCAGCTACTGGGCAGGAGGAGAGCAATGCACAGTTTATCTGGTTTGACTTCTGTGAAGAGGAAAGCTTGTGGGTCAGACCATCACGTTGAGCTTGCTTCAGAACATCCACGGTCAGCCACCTACTTGTCTGTCCCCTCAGGAGCTCGTGGCCTAGGGGTGGAGGTGAACCCCAACTCAGCATCCATCAAGGACAGCCCCTGGCTCTGTTCTCTCTTCCCTGGGGCCTGGGTCTCTCCTGCTCTTCAAGGGCTGTATCGTCCATAACCTATCGCCACTTGGACCACCAGGACACCCTGAAATCAGCCATTTCTCTGGCCTTCCAGGCATCCTCAGCTGATTGTGCTGTTGGAAATGCTGTCCCCGTAGCCTGGCCTCCCACAGCATTCTTACCTCACAGAGAATCTGGGGATTTCTAAGGAGATCGTGGGACCCCGCCCGTGGCTAGTTCACAATCAGTAGTCACTGCAGATGAGCTCTGTGTCCAAAGCCGCTTCACTCAGTTACTGAACACTTACTCAGCATCTGCCTTGGACTAGATTTACCCCGGCCACTGGAGGCGAATCCTGAGTAATACGCAGTTCCGGCCTTGGGGGCTCCACGCATAGCCAGAGCTCTCACACTCTACTGTGATCGGGGGCGTCGTCCCCGAGGCAGGTGGGGACGCCTTCCTGGACTGAACACACCTCTCTGCAGGGTGAGGAGAGGAACCTGAAAGGGGCCAGTGCTGGCTGGGAGACACATTAGGAGCCTACAGCCAGTTTCGGTGGACCCTTGAGCCACGGCAGGGACCAGGAGGGTGAAGGGTCAGAGGACATTTAGCAGGAGTCCAAGCATTGGTAGGGGGGCTTGGACCTGGATGCCGTGCCATTTGGGACAGAAAAACATAGGAGGGTTCCCAGTGTGGGGAAATGAAGCTCAGTTTGACGGATCGAGTCTGAGGTGCCTGTGGAATAGCAAGGCAGAAAGGCAGGTCCGTGGCCAGAGGAACAGTCTAGAGTCCACAAGGGTTTGAAAGACTCAGTTGTGGGTCATCTGTGTATAAATGGTAGTTGATACCCTCAAAAGTATGTTGAGTGTTAAGAGCTGAAGACAGGCCCTGAGAAGTCACAGGAGGTTTGGAGGAGCCAGACACTGCTAAGCCTGCCCCGAGGGTCAGAGAGAGAGTCTGAAGGAGGGAGTCTTATCGGGCACCATGCATGTGTCACACATGATGAGGCGTGAACTCTCCCCCTATCATTGGTTATCAGGAGGTCACCAATAGCCAAGAGAGAAGGGTTTCAAGGAGTTGGGAAGAGACCAAAGCTAAACCCATGAACTGGGGAGTGAAGGTGGGTGATGAGGACATGTAGACTTCTCAAGATATTTGGTGGAAAAGGGAAAAGATTAGAATGGTCATTGAGGCAGATTTTTTTTAACATTTACCTTGAATAATGAAATGTTTATTCACCATCCTTTTCAGCTGACTCCCAAACTGTGAAGCTCAATCAGACATACTGTGAGCCTGGGACCCTGGGATGGAGAAAGGACACACACACACACACACACACCTACACCTCTTCCTTGTTCCCACACCCCCCTGCCCTGGCAGTACACTCACACCGTATGGGTCCCAGCAACTGTAAGCTTCTTAGGTCAAGGATTCAGCCATATTTGTTTCTAGATCCCCTATACCTAATAGTGCCTGACTCCAGGTAGGGCTCAGCTGATGTTTGGTGAATGAAAAGGAGAGAGGATGGATTTAAGTAGATGCAGGAGTTCTGTTTATGGTATGGAAGTCCAGTTCTTCTCACAGAAAGACAAGGATGGAGCCACGGACAGTTGCATACGTGTCAGGGACACTGGCTGCTGAAGCTCTCTCCCATATGATTTGCATCTCATTGCAGTTCAATGCCCTGGGAAAGGCTTGTCCAGTCTCTCAAAGACCTAAAAGAGCCAGGCCAAGAAGGCTGGGATGATCTGAAAGTAACTTCCTTCCAGCTGGTCCACCTTCCAGCTGGTGGCCGTGCCATGGTGGACCAACCTTCCTATTACTTGTTCTCATGTGAGCTCCTCAGCTTGGCACATTAGTGAACACGCAGCTTCATTTTTGCTTTTTTGTTTATAATATAGGATTCCATTTATGGCATGAGGATCAATAGAGACTTGGGTTGAATCTCTGTTTTTATCAACATGGAGAATTAATCCCAACAGCTAGTTGAGGGCACTGGATTGAATTCCATTTGGGCGGTTTCCTACTTTCCTGCTCCACTTGGGCACTCCGTGTTGAGTTCTGGAATTCATTTTGAGGAGGCAGCATGTGACCTGATGGTCTTGGTGCCACACCGTGGAAGCTGATGGTTAAGCGTTATCTTTGAGTCAGTGGCTTGAAGTCTGTGGGGGAAACCAAACCAAACCCTGCATGATTCCTGTAAATTATATTTCCCGAAAGTGTCCAACATTATTCATTATGTGTATAGTTTCCCTTTTGGTGTGGTTGTCTCCAATAGAATAAGAGAAGATTTGAACTTGGGGCAAGTATATGTTTCCTATTTGAAGGAGTTCAGCTCTTAGCATAACCCATAATCTCCTTCCCCGTCACTGAGTAACTACAGAGACCTTCTTGCCACATGACGAGAGCAAACGAAGGTCTGGTGGCAGTTGACGATGTCACAGGCATGCATTTGCTCGCCTCCGTGGCAGGTGCCATGTGGGATGGCACGACAAGATGCATGCGATGCCCTTCTGCTTTCATGGGAAGCCTCCCTGCTTTTCTGTCCTTCCCCTTCCCCACCTCTGTCAGGAGCTGGACAAGGAAGTCAGAACCCAGGTGCTGGTTGAGTGGTTGGCAGGAACTGGAGGACCTAGAGGCAGGAGTCCAGTTGACACATAGTTGGGTCGGAAGGGGCAGCAAGTGCTCTCCTGGCCTGGGTCAGCTAGCTCGCCTCCATGTGCCTTGCCCCAAACCAGATTACCAAGTCCAAAGTCAGAGAGCCAGTCACATGACAGGATCAGATTCTGGGAAAAGGCTGGTCCAGTCTGGGCAGCAGGAAAACTGGGAAAGATCAGGAGCACCCCAACTCACACATCAGGCTTGCCAGCACAGGCTGCGGCTGGTCTCGCCATGGCCATATCCACCAGGTGTTGAAAGAAAAATGGACTCTTTCCCCTAAAGAAGGCCGGACAGTGGTCCTGGCCAGGACTGAGACAATTCTGGTGGCTACTTAGCATTTCCCTTCCCTCAGGAACCCCGGGTGCCAACTAGGCGAAGGCACAATTCAGGCTCTGCTCCCAACTCCCCGAACAAAGCGGGTTCCCGCCAATGACAGAGCAGGGCTCTTGGTGTTCTGCTGCCCAGAATTGGAACACATCTGTCCGGGGCTGCCGCCCTCAGGTCTCCTCTCACTAACAGATTGATTGGAAAGTCTGGGTGCAGAAATGATCACATCCCAAATCCTTGTGTTCCGTGACATCATCAAGCAATTTTTCTTGGCAAGAGAGGATCCCAGGAATGGATTGGTACTCGTGCTTTTAAAATTGTCCTTGCTATTCTGGGTTCTCGGAAGATTGAATCTTCATTAGTAATCAGGGCACTGCTTGTCAGTGTCCTTCTGGGATCCCAGGGCATAAGCACAGGGCAGTGCTGGGGCAGAGGCTGGGCCACCCACTATGCCAGGGAAGAGCCCTGCCCTGACCTCCAGCCACGAGTGCCTGAGCCTGTTCAGCACCTCTGGGAGCACTTGGCACGTGGGTAAATGTCTGTCGGAATCAACTTCCATTCCTTTTCCTAATAAATAATCCCCACTATATCAAACTGCGTGTGCACAAGGATCTAACTTATCAAGTCATATATATATATATATTATATGCAATTTTATACATTATACTACACATATATCTTACATGTCTTTCTCTCTCAAATGATACTTCTAAAACATGTTGTGCCCCTGCGACAAACCTTCCCTCATTTCCCATTCATTTAGAAGAAATTCTTCTTGCATCAGGCCTCTACACTCAGCCCCCTGTGGCTCCTCGGAACTCATTTCCCACCCTCCTCCCCTCACCCACTCTGCTTCACGTGACACAAAAATAGACCTGCAGCATTACAAATATTAATATCATTACAACCACCTGTGAGGCAGGTACTATTGTTATCTTCATTTTATACACAGGGAAATAGGCACAGAGAGGTTAAGTCATTTACCCAAGGTCACACAGCAGTGTCAGAATTTGAAACCCCACATCCATCCTAGAATCTATGCTTTAAACCACTACCCTGTGTTTCCTGTACCATGGGCTGAATGAAGGTTCCTTCACTTAAAACCACTGATACACAAGACAGGAAGCCACCATATGAGCCAGCTTTGTTATACAGCTTCTGAAGTATGTGAGTGTAAGCTATAGAAATGCATTTTCTAGAAAGGCCCTGAAGAAGCCAGGGAAGGAAATGGACCAAAATCATTTTAGTGATCATCTCTAGATAGTGAGGTTTTCAGGTGACGTACATTTTCCTCACTGTACATATCTGTATATTCCAAGTTTCCTACCTGGGCTAATATTAGATAAAATGGAAATGGTTGCTTTTCCAGTGAATGTATGATGAAGGGCCAACAGCTGTGTGTCCTGTCTGGGAAGAGCTCCGGGCAGGGCAGGGGAAGCATTGGAGGTGGGGCACCCCGTCCCTGACCCTAATGATGGTCTTCTCCCTCTGACCGCCTAGGACATCATCGAGGGGGGCAGCCTTCGCATCCCACTCCAGGAGCTGCACCAGATGATCCTGACTCCTATCAAGGCCTACAGCTCCCCGAGCGCCACCCCTGAGGCTCGCCGCCGGGAGCCCCAGGCCCCACACCCGGCTTCGCTCATGGGCCCCGAGAGCCAGAGCCCCGACTGCAAAGACAGTGCCGCGGCCCCGGGTGCCACAGCCACCACCTCAGCCGGCGCCAGCGGCGGGCTCCAGCCACACCATCTGAGCAGCTGTGACGGGGAGCTGGCTGTAGCCCCCCTGCCGGAGGGGGATCTCCCCGGGCAGTTCACGCGTGTCATGGGGAAAGGTAGAGCCTGAATTCCCCCAGTCTCCCTTCTCTTCTCTCAACACCGCTAACCAGAACTACCGGTCCCCGAGGGGCTTCCCCTGGGGGCTGGAGAAGCTGCCTGCCAAGGTCGATGTCATGAGCCCATTGTACAGATGAGGAAAGTGTGGCTCTGAGAGGTTGAGGAATTTGGATCTGAACTCAGATCTCAGATCTGACCTCCAAAGGTCCCTTCCTTAACCTTGTATCCTTCCTCTCCCACTCCAGACCAGGGCTGCTGGCCCTCCTGGCAGCGTCACTGGGCCTTGGACCCTCAGGCTGAAGCAGCGATTTCAACCTTTTCATCGCAGGGCACACACCAATTACCAAAATTCTGCAGCACACCAAATATATATGTTCTGCCGATATGACGAAAAATGGGTATAATTTTTATCTGTTCATACTGGGCAGCTATTGTGTTGGCTGTTGTCATTTTTCCCTTCGGCAATCTTAAGAGAAAGGAGGTCAGTGCCCCTGACTAAGTGGTCAGGTACTGCATGTTTTACAGATTCTTGCAGCACACCAGTGTGCCTCGGCGCATGTGTTGAAAATCATTGGGCTAAAGTCAGCCCTGACATCAGATCATGCCATGTATGTGTGTGCGTGTGTATGTGTGTGTGTGGGGGTGGTGGTGTGTGTGTGTGTGTGTGTGTGTGTGTGTCTGGAGGGCAGGACAGAATTCACACGTGGTCCTGTGGGTAAGAGCACCCTTTCTACATGGACTGCCGTGGCTAAGCTCCTTGTGCACATATCCTGGTCCAATGCCAGAATAATTTGTGCTTGATAAGTATGTCACAAGAAAACTTGATTATTTGAAAAATGTAGTGAATATCGGTACTTTACTTTCAGGAAGGGGAGATAATTTTTTTCTTCTTTATTGTCCAATATTTTAGACCATTTTAAAGAACAAAGTTTTTACCAACAGATATGGACACTTGAGTCTTTTTAAAAATTATATATATCTTTTTGTTGATTTCCAAGAGGAAGGGAGAAAGAGAGATAGAAACATCAATGATGAGAGAGAATCATTGATTGGCTGCCTCTTACGCGGCCCCTTCTAGGGGTCAAGTCTACAACCAGGGCCTGTGCCCTGACTGGGAATTGAGCTGTAACCTCCTGGTTCATCGGTCGATGCTCAACCACTGAGCTACACTCACCGGGCTAACACCTGAGTCTTACAGTTGCACTGAGAAACTTCCCGTGGTCCATGTCCTACAAAAGACTTAAATCCTTAAAAATCTGATTCAGAGGAGATGACCTGTGGCCTCCCTTGGGGCTGAAATGCCAGTAGCCTGGTCTCCTCCCCTTGCCTCCTTGCTCTCCCCCACCCCCTAGTGGGCACTTAGAGCAGATGACCAGAGCCCATGGATGAAGGGCCATGTGGTGTGGGGGTGGTTACCTGAGTGTGAGGTGCCTCACCCCACCTCCCCTGTGGCGAGAAGTACAGGGGGCTCTGCCCTCAGGAGGCCTGCACTTCTCTGGCCCAGCTTGTTTATAAAGTTTAAATGCTTTTAAATAAATTATAAAATAATTGCAAGGTCAACATAAAGAATCAGAACTACACAAAATGGGAGACAGTGAAAACTAGCCCTCCCACCCCAAGCCTCAGAGGCAACCACTCTAAACAGATTTGGAATATGCCCTGGGTAACTTTATACACGCACATGAGTGTCCTTTTTACACACAAACGGGTCTTGTTTACATGTTTCTCTGCAGTTTTTTTTTTACATTATATAGTTTTAACTGTTCTATCAATACAGTAGCACCAACTCTTTTTTAATAGTTCTATCCATGCAGGAGTACCAACTCATTCTTGCATGCTTTCCCACAGTATGTGTAAACCATAATTGATTTAATGGCCCCAGTGAATGGACCTCAAGTGGTTTCCAAGTTTCTGTTGTTACAAACAACGCTATAATCTTGCGCAAGATTAAGGAGAGAGGAAAAAAAAAAAAAAGTCAGAATGCCCAGGTTTCAAGTGTGATTTACGGAGTGCCAGGCATTTTCACTTCTCATCAATGTCTTTTGTCATCAGTTAGACGTGAGCAGAGTGGGTTCCACTAATGTGGCCATGACACCCAGCAGCGTGTGTCCTCAGCCCACAGACTCACTCTGCTGTCAGCCTCAGCACTTACCTGAGTGTGCAGGTGAACCTGTGTGTGTGTAAGTGCGTGGATCACTTTGAGAAATAGCCCTCCAGTGACTGAGCACCAGGCTTCCTGCTCATGTGTGCACCCACGCACCTCACGTCCTAAAGGATGTGCCAGCTTGATTCCTCCAAATGAGGTGCGCGGTTCATTCATAAAAATCACGGAGACTGCTCTCTCATAACACCGATGGCCTTTGCTGCCTTTAAACTCGCTCTCAAAAGGAGCCTCTTGCAAAGACAGAGCTCGGGACACTGCTGCGTTCTTCCTCCCCCAGCGTGTCTGTGTCAGGCTGGGTTGCAGAAGGCTTAATATAGAATGGTATGCCTGGAATTAATCGACGGGGCTCCTCGAGGCAAGGGCTCCCGTGGTGCCCGAGCCTTTGACTTCAGTGGAATGAAGAGCCTCCTGGCCTTTTTTGTGAGCCTTATGTACAGCCACAGGCACACAGACCTCTCAAAATACTGGTCCTGAAAGGAAATGAGAAACAGATCTCAAGGTTAGGAGATGGATGTGCATTTTTCTAATTCATCTTTTTTTTTTTTTTAATTCACAGTGTGCACACAGCTCTTGGTCTCCAGACCCGATGAGGAGAATATAAGTTCCTATTTACAGCTCATAGACAAGTGTCTAATTCATGAGGTGAGTCATGATAGAGTTCACAACGCCTTTTTCCTCATTGCTTAGAAATGGTTCCTGTGGCGGGATCATTTGAATCAGCAACAACTTGTTTCTGTGGGGTAGATGTCCGAATAGCTCGGGCAGAACTTGGCGTGGTGGCCTCAAGCCTAAACAAAGCTTGTGTATGACTTAGTTGTCCAAGCTCTGATGTGAGGGTGCATGCCTGAGAGGAACTTCAGACTCCAGAAGAATCTCTGAGTGACCAAGCCTGGGAGGTGTGCACACAGTCCTGCCACCCAGCCCCTGGTGTTCTCAAGTCTTTCAATGCTTTGCCTTGAAACGTTTTGCCTTTGGGCTCAAGGAGCTTTGAGGGAGGGGTGGAGAAAGAGTCTGCAGCAGAAACAATGTGGGGTGGGGGGATTGTGTTTAGCCGTGTGTCCTTTGAAGAAGGACCGAGGCAGGCGGGAGCTGTGCCTACCAGGCTCTCAAAGCTAGCACAGGCTCCACCACGGGGCAGGCAGGTGCTGGCCATGGCTGCCCTGAGCGACGTGTGTGGACAGGCCGTTGTGCCTCAAATCCAAGACTCCAGTGGCTACTTTGGTGGCTCTCCTCCAGAGAGTTCCAGTGACAAAGTCTAGGCCTCAGGAAACATAGGACTGGATAACCCTAGGGCCGTGGTCGGCAAACCGCGGCTCTTTGGCCCCGTGAGTGTGGCTCTTCCACAAAATACCACATGCGGGCGCACACGGACAGTGCGATTGAAACTTCGTGGCCCGTGCGCTGAAGTCGGTATTTTGTGGAAGAGCCACACTCAAGGGGCCAAAGAGCCGCATGTGGCTCACGAGCCGCGGTTTGCCGAGCCGCAGTTTGCCGACCGCTGCCCTAGAGCATTGAGGGTTTTTTGTGGGGTTTTGACATGAGAATAAGACGGTAAAGGCCTCCAAGTCTCCTCACCTTTGCTGTGGTGGCGGCCAGAACCCTGGGAGTCCAGGGGCCCCCAGTTTGGGGGGATGGCCAGTGCAGAGGCTGGCCCCTCACCCACCCTCCCGGTGTGGTTGGCTCCCTGGGGCCCCCACCTCCGTGCTCTGACTCCGCCCATCCTCGTGTGCAGGTGCCCAGTCTCCTGCTGGGTTTCCGCTCCAGCCGCGCCTCCCCCACCCCCTAAAATCTCGTTTTTGCAATTTTCTCTCGCAGAGGCATCCATTCTTTTATATGCCTCTCCCCAACTCCCCCCACCCCGCCCCCACTCAGCCTTTTCTATTTCCAGTCCTGGCCCTGCACTTGTTTTGACCAGCAAAAAGCCACAGACAGAAGACAAGAGCGCAGTGACGAATTTCTGAACTCATTCATTCCATAGATACTTATCACGCCCCCTGGCCCTGGCCAGGCAGCTTATGGTGAGGGTAGTGGGTGAGACGCAGGGAAAACAGGTTGTCACGTACATGACGATAAGACCTCTGAGAAGCCCCCCCGGGGTGCCCCAGAGCCCAGATGAGGAGTGGCAGGCACCTGCCCGAGCCGGAAGCAGGTGTTCCTCTGAGGGGCTGCCCCCAAAAGGCAGGCAGAGTCTCATGGCTCAGGGAGGAAGGAGGCAGGAGAATGCTGCAGGCAGACGGTGCAACGTTTTGGGGGGTTCTGTGTCTTGTTAGGGAAGACCATTGAGGAGGATTTCGAGAAGGGAGCCTTTTAACTTCTGAGAAAGCAAAGCAGATCCCTGCTTCCTCTCCCACGTTCACTCTGAGCAGTGGAGGACAGGTTGCCTCCACCAGCCGGCTGAGCCCAGGAGGCAGAATGACCGCCCTCCGGCCGCCTCTGCTTCCTTGTTGGACCACACCAGCCCCACAGCTGTGGCCTGAGGCTTATCACTGGCCTGCCTCGGGTGTGCCCTCCCTGGGCACCGTGGCTCTTCTTTTTGCTTCTTCCCACTTTTTCTCCCTGATGCCCAGTGACCCAATGCAAAGATGACACTGAGGGCTCCTCTGCTGGCAGGAGGCCCAGGCAAGGGGCCTCTTGGTACCGGGAGTCACGGCAGATAGGAGCTCAGGACGAGTCCGTTTGCCTGAATTCAGGTCGGGATGGAGGGCCTGCGCTCTGCTTTGGAAGGGAAAATGTTGTGCAAGCCTTTTTATTATTTTAGTTGAGAAGGCGGAAACGGGTCTGAATAATTTTCCACAGGCCTGGGTTGTGTGTGAGAGAACGCACCCTCCCTGCGGCCGGAGGGGAGGTCAGCCTGGGCTCCGGACAGGGCTGCCTTCCTCAGCCCCCAGCGCTGCTGCTGCTGCTGCTGCTGCTCTGCCCACTGCAAGGGGAGGTGTGGTTACTTCCAAGGCACCTTCCTTCCCGGGGATGAAGGACCGACTCCGTAGAGAAAGAAAAGGGAGGTTGGGAAAGTTCTGGATTCTGTATCTGGGACCAACCACTTCCTCATGGATTGTAATCCCAGGCATATTGCCTGCTTGCGGTCTTGACAAGGTTCTGGGAATCTGAGTGCTTGTCCCCTTAATGAGGCTTTTAATCCAGCCACCAAAGCTGCAGGACACATCTTCCTCCAGACAGACGGATTGGTCTGGGCCTGACAGGGACAGAAGACGGAGCAGTGGCTGGCTGGCTGTGTCTGGGCAGCCTGCAGTGTGGAATCTTCCTTCCACTCCAGCCCAGGGTGGAGGAGGCTGGGGTGTGGTACCAGCCGTCCCAGCCGATGGCGGAGCACAGGAACCAGCCTTCAAAAACCATTGGGAGTCCGCCATGGCCCAGTGCTCCTGCTCCCAGCTGCCCCTCCCAGGACTGAGAACCGGCCTCCACACTCACTCGCACTGCTGGGGGCTCGCTCCTGTCTGCGCCCCAGCACTAAATGAGCCTGTGGAGGTGCCTACATGTCCTTCTTTTCAGAGGCTCTTTGCCCCCGTGGCCGAGGTCATGTGTGAGCTGGTGTCCTTTGAAACACTTTAAATGCACATCTATCGAGTGAACCATTAACTCCTTTGTCACTTGAAATTCAGGCTTGTCCTCCAGTCTGCCTCCAGACCAGCTCAGGACTCTAGTTTTGAGACCTTGAAGTCATTTGTTGGGGCTAAAGGTGGCTGTTGAACACCAACTGTGACAAACACGCACATGCTACCTCCCAAAGGCTGGTCCACGCAACTGAAAATAGCCGGTTAGAGTATCTGTGAGTGGCGTGGGTTGAATCATTACTAAGAGCCAGGCATGTTCTTAAGTATTCTGAGTGCTTTTCGTGTGTTATCTCCTTTAGTCCTTACAGCGTCCATTAGAGGGAGACATTATCACCCTCAGCTTTTAGAAGGAGCAGAGTCTCAGGTGGAGGGATTCGCATAAGGGAGTGTGGGGATTCGCACCCTCCCGTGTGCATCCAGGGCTTTCCTCTGACCCACTGGCGGGGCCCTCCTCCTCAACTCATCTCGACCAGGGTGCCTGCATCTTGTGTCCTCACTTAACATCTGGCTGAATGAGCCCGTCAAAAGCAGAATCTATCCATCCCTTTGTGAGTCCAGCAGATGTGTTTGCCTGTCGCAGTTTTCAGAGGTCCTCGTGTGTAGTTGGACACTCACTGAGCATCACCAAAAATGAGAGGGACCACGGAGGAGAACCAGGTCCTCGCCTTTCAGCCATGAGACCATCTTGCCACTCACCTGAGTGGGGGGTCTGCACCTCTTTCTCTAATGGGGCACTGGGTCCCTTGATTGGTAGCCCTCTTTGATGCGTACCCTTAATGGTGTCTGGCTAAGGTCACCCAGGGGGAAGCAGTTTGTAAGTCAATAACTTTTCTGCAATATGACTGATATCTTTTTGCTTTTGTTCACATAGCTCTCTTGTGTTTAGGTCCTTAAAGATTAAATGTCATCAGGAGAAAATTAAGCTGTCTTTCTATTCTCCCCCCTGTTTCAGAAATCTGTTTCCTTCATGGAAAATAATCATGTAGTCTGTTATTCTAAGTAATAGCTTATTGCTTCTTAAATTTCACGCCTTATTGACAAAACTACCTAGGCGTGCTATCTCCATCATTGTTAATGCTGATCTGTCAAACCCGATGGATTTCCACAGCGTGTGGACCACAGTTCTAGATACTTGACAGGATCCCTGAATTGTGTGTGTGGTCCTCATCATCTCGAGCACTCCACGTCCAAGTGCTGCCTGCAGCAGAATTACCAGGGCAGTAGTCGGCAAACTGCGGCTCGCGAGCCACATGCGGCTCTTTGGCCCCGTGAGTGTGGCTCTTCCACAAAATAACACATGCGGCCGCGCATGTATAGTGCGATTGAAACTTCGTGGCCCATGCGCAGAAGTCGGTATTTTGTGGAAGAGCCATGTGGCCAAAGAGCCGCGTGTGGCTCGCGGGCCACAATTTGCCGACCACTGTACCAGGGCACTTGCTGCAAACACAACACCCCCCACACTCCCCTCCAAATCTGTCAGGCTCTAGGTGTGTGTGGGGGGGGGGGGGAGGCCTAGGAATCCGCATTTTAACTGGTCTCTTCGGGAAATCTAATAGACCATGACAAATAACCCCTGAAAGTCCTTCCCTGGGCCATGGTGCACACAAAGAACACATGATGTAGATGACAGCATATTACAGGGCAGTAGGCACAACATCCCCCAACACCAATTTTACTAGAAAAGACTCAAGAAGCAATCAAATCTACCCATCTTCCTAAACTTCAATTTAGGTTAGGACGGGTGCAGTGGGGTTTTGGTAGGGCACCAGATCCCTTAACTAGAAGTTTCTCAGCCCAGCCCTGAAATGCAGAGACTGAACTCCATGTTCTGAAGCCCAGCTGACCACTCAGGGTGTCCACACACTATCAAGCATATTGATTTTTGGAGTGGTTTAGCATTTCCATTGATTATGAAAATGCCGGGGGCCTCCAGAAGCCAGAGTATTCAACAATCAATTTTGCAAATTATTCTTGGTTAATAAATAGAGTCCAGAGTGCAGTCAGAGGCAAGAGAAGGTGGGTATGGACCTACCAGAAATGCAACCAAAACCAAGGGCTGTCAAGAGTTTGCCCGGCTGGCTTGGCTCAATGGTTCAGCATTAACCTATGAACCAGGAGGTCACAGTTTGAGTCCCGGTCAGGGCACATGCTCAGGTTTCGGGCTCCATCCCCAGTGTGGGGCGTGCAGGAGGCAGCCGATCAACGATTCTCTCTCATCATTGATGTTTCTGTCTCTCTCTCCCTCTCCCTTCCTCTCTGAAATCAATAAAAATATATGTATTTTTTAAAAAGCTTAATGCATGTACCGTACCAGGCACCTCCAATGCCAAGTAACTTGAATTTTCAGTTATGAAACTGACTGCTGTTTGAACCAGCTTGGAAACAGGTGGAAAAAAGGCAACCACAGAGACGTCAATGTTTTCCCCTATTAATTGCATGTTTCTCCTTCTAATGCTAGGCTGCGTCACCCATTAAAAAATCCTGTTTGTTTTTGCAGGCATTTACAGAGACGCAGAAAAAAAGATTGTTGTCATGGAAACAGCAGGTGCAGAAGCTCTTTCGGTCTTTCCCTCGGAAAACCCTTCTAGACATATCAGGATATCGACAGCAAAGAAAGTACGTTGGGATTTCATTGTTTGTAATGCATGGTGGCTCCCAGGTGCCTCATTTGCCTGCCTGGGTTCCCGGGGCAGGACAAGGCAGGGCATTCCTTGGTCATCAAGGTGCCCTGTGGCAAGTTCCAAATCGCCGTCCTTAAACAGGTGGGGTTGGGAAAGGCTGTGGAGAGAGAGCATTCCCAGAGGAAGGGCTGAATGCGATCTTTTGTAACTCAATTGACATTGTCAAAGTGACAGCGTTCGTCCGGATGCAGAGAGTGGATATAATTTAATGAACGCCAGCAGAACACTTGGTAGTTTATCCCCAAAAGGGGGCTCTGAAAGGACAGAAACGGATTGTTCTCTTAGCACCTTAAGTGGTCGTGTAATTTTTTTCTCTCTTCTAGCTGCAGACAAGCTAATTATAGTTGGTGGCAGGGTGAAGAGCCCAGTGCTAGTCTATTTTGGTCTGAGTTGCAATCTAAGAGTGGAGCAGCACCGTTCTCGATTTCTCATAGTGCTTCAGGTTCTTGGATGCAGTTAAAAATAAGCCGTATTGTACTTGAGACCCCCCCTTCCCTTGATCTGGCTTTAAATTGAGGAATCCAATAGCATATGAAAGGTGAATTACCGTGCCAGTTAGTTAAGGGGAGGCGTGGATTAAGCCTTGTACAATGACAGGGAGTTTTGGGGAGACAACAGAATGATGATGCGAACATCCTCAAAATCCACATTCCATTTATTTTTGCATTTTTAAACATGAGCACATAATGTTTTCATTTGCACCTGAAAAGTTCTGAATTCATTTCTCGGTGCATTTATTTGCATAAGTGTGCCTTCCAACATCACTGTTGGATATTATTTAAGGGGGTTGAGGCCCGTTGAAATTTGTGAAGTCTTTGTTAAAGATTAATGTAACATGAATTATCCAGCCTATACAACACGGTTACTTATTAAACAAGCATTTAACCCTTACTATGTGCCAATTATCCAAGCACGATAAGAATATTAGTACATTCAATCCTGCAACAACCATGTAAGGTAGAGGAGCTGCTATCAGCCTCATTTTACGGAGGAGTCGGTAGGCAATGGCATCCAGGATTTGGTTCAGGCAGGCCAGCGCCAGCGTCAGTGCTCTTAACCACTGTGGATGCCAGGCAGCTCTCATGGTCTTTGTGCAGAAAAGATGGGCAGGTCAAGCAACACTCTTTATTTCCCACTCCCTGGCCCCATGCCCTCTGGGGTGCCTCCCTGGTGGGTTGGGCTGGATCAGCTCTGCACCCTGATGAAAGGCCAGGCCCCCTCCCCTGGGGCGCCCCCCCACACCCGCCTCTCCTCTTGTATGGATAGCAACACTTCTCCCAAGGAGGAGGAGGAGGTGCCAGCCCCTCTTGCTACACCGGCCCCTTGGGAGCCAAGTTCCAAGCGGAAGAGGGAAGTTAGAAGTTGACCATGAAGATAGAGCTTTTAAGGGCTTTGCTTCTCACCCCCAAGTTTCACCCCCTGCCTCTGTCTGCCCTGCCTTGTCCTTGGTTAACCTTGACCCCTCTAGAGTGTGACTACCTAAAGCTTGTTTTGGGCTAACCTAAGGTTTGCCAGATTGGAGTCCCAGTGGACCTCTTTTTATGGATTAGATAAGAATGAATTTAATCAATTGTAGATGTTCAATTGGAGGCTGCTAGAGCTCTAGAAAATAATTTGTTCTCCTACGTATTACCTCTGGGATCTTCTTATGCTATTAATTTGCTTTGAAGACCCGTTTCTCCAGTAATACAAAGGTATCTGCTGCCCACCCCCTGCTTGAATTATCCCAAATCCCAAATTAATTGGTTCTTATTTAGTCTTTTCACGCATTTCAAGATAATGAAATCAGTTGGTTAGATTTAGGAAGGCAAAGAGAGCCGCAAATGGGCAGAGGAAGAGAATGAAAAATGAAAATTTACTTTTGTCGCTTTATTCTCTCCCCAGAAGAAATGATTATCTCATTAAGCCTAGTGATCTTAAGTAACCTAAGCGTTCACTCTGGTTGCCAGCAGTGGCACTGCTCAACAACCCTGGCTTTGTAATAACCTATGAAGGACACCACAGTAGAGCCCCACCATCATTAGAAAGACGGCCTAGTCAAATTCTCCCCACCCACCCATCCTGTCCCCAAAACGTTCAGGGCTTTCCCACCACATCCAGCCAGCGAGTCCTCACTTCTGGAGTGCCTAGAGCCCTTGTTCCTCCAGTGGCCCATAACAGAACCCTCTGCCCACATTCTATTGCTCAAGATATACTCTGTCTTCCTGGAAGCACACATCCTTTTAGCATCGTTCACTGACTACTGTATTTTGCATATGAAGTAACTTTTAAAAAATCCAACTGAAAAGGAAAACGAGAGGGGAAAAAAAGCCATTCGCACTAAATAAGGAAAAGTCTTAGCAGAATACTGAATCATCTACCAGGTGGCCAAAATTCTGACTCAAAAACCAAAGGCCTCGTTTTCATAGTTAAAACACACACACACACACACACACACACACACACACAACCGCCGCTTGCTCTCCACCTGTCAGTCACTCAGACGGTCCTTCCTCCAGGGGAAGTCTCTGGGACCCCATGAAAGGACTCCTACCCCACCTGGCCTGAATTTCCTCTTTCAAACCAAACGTTTGAAACCTTAGTCAAAGAAGAAAGAGGGGCAGAAGAGGGAGGAAGGATGAGATAAACAAAGAGACCTAGAACCCAGGAGTGCCCCTTCTCACCGCGCGTAGAGGAGCCACAAAAGCCTGGAAGTGGAAAGACACAGCCCAGAACTCAGTTCAGCCAGCTCACCGTGGAATTCTCTTCCCTGCCCTCCCTCTCTCCCTGGGAAAAGAGGAGCACTGGGGAAAGAAGCATTTCCTGAGATCTGCTGTGCTGATGGCTTAGGGGCCCCTTCCTGAGTCTAGGCACACACACAACTCTCCCTCAGGAAATGACTGTTTAGCAGGGCCCCCCACCCCCACCCCACCATCCTCAACTGGTGAAATACGTCAGCCCTGTCTCCGGGAGTCTCCTCACAGGCTTGGCACAAACCTCCCCTGCACGGTGGGGAAAGCGAGTCTGTTCCATCTTGTGGCCATTGGAGGTAAAGCATTTCGACCTAAACATCAGTGAATGACTAAAGCTGACTCTTCTTGGAAAGAATGTGCTGGTTCCTGAAACCCCGCTGGCGGCCGCGCGCCCTCCCAGAACCTGAGGCGTGTGAGAGAGGACAAGTGCTTTGGAGATGAGGTCACAACAGCAACGGCAGCACAGCCTCCGAGTGTGCCGCCTGGGTCTCCGGCCGCTGTCCTGCGTGGACCCAGGGGGGACACGCAGCCTCTGGTCTCTCTGCAGGGAGGGTCTGCGCAGTGGGGAGCAGTGGGTGTCCGGGGGCCAGACACCACCATCTCCATTCTCCTATCCCTCCTCCATACCCTGGAGTCAGCGCCCCCACCGTGGGTCAGTCCTGCCATGTGGAGAGGCGCCCTGATGGCAGAGGCGAGTCCATTCTTTCATTCATTCAACATGCCTTTACCGTGTCAGGAGCTGATTCGGTCACGGAACACGTAGGCTTGATGAGGACAGACGTCAACCTTTTTTTCAGGGGGCTGACATCCTAGGGGCCTCCCAGGCCACTGTCCCCGAGTCTCCCACAGAGCCAGACGGACATCAGGGAAGACTTTGGTTTGATGGCAGGAACACTGAGCCTGGCTGTGCAGCCTTCTCGCTGTGTGGCCTCTTGACAGGCGTGTGAGTGCTCTGGGCGCTGTGACCAGCTTGGAAGAAGGCCCAGGAGCGGCCTGGTTAAAGCTCAGGGCTGCCAGCACTGCTCCCTGCTGGCTGAGTGACGTTCGAGAAACTATTAAGCTCTATGTACTTCTCCAGCTGTAAATAAAAGTGGGTAGAGCGCCTACTTCAGTGGGTTGTCGTGAGGATGGAAGAATCAATGTAATAGTGCCCTGATGGTGCACGTAACCTTTCCTCTCAGCCGTCAGCTGTCGTTTTAATCATAGCCCTTTCCTGGCTCAGACCCCCCAGGACCCCATAGGCCTAGGACTGTCAAAATGCGAGCAGACCGCCCCCCTCAGGAGGCGTCCCACAGGCAGCCTGGGGGGTGAGATGGCTGCAGGGGACTCACGCTCCCTGGTTCTTCTCTGTTCGCTCCCACAGTCGCGGCTTTGGGCAGTCCAACTCCCTCCCGACGGCCGGCTCTGTGGGCGGCGGCATGGGCAGACGGAACCCACGCCAGTACCAGATCCCTTCTCGGAACGTCCCTTCTGCCCGCCTGGGCCTCTTGGGCACCAGCGGGTTCGTCAGCTCCACCCAGCGCAACACCACAGCCAACCCCACCATCATGAAACAAGGAAGACAGGTTTGTTCTGCACCGGAGAGGAGGGTGGGCAGCCAAGCTCAGCGCCCGAGCCTGCAGGATGTTTCCCCAGATGACCCCAAGGTGAGGGGAGAGGCTGAGGGGGGCTAAGCTGAGAGACAGTGTCCCTGTCCTCTGCGTTACCGACGTCGCTTGCGTTGTTCTCCGGGAGATAGACCAGGGCTGAGGCTGCGCCTGGCCTCACGGAGGGTGGCTGAGGAGGCCCCTGGGGACCACTTCAACCTTGGGGGCCCCGAGCAAGGGTGCCTTTAGAAAGACATGTAATACCTGTTTATTGTTTGCCCCGACCCTTGACTTGCCCCAGCAGACCTCACCACTTCCCAAACGGGGTTCCAGAGGAACCTCTGCCTCTAAGGAACTTGCTTAGCTTTTTTGTTCGTGGCAAGTAGCTCCTTCGTTGTGGTCCAGCTGTGGGGGAGAAGCCACAGGAGGGAGCTGGAGAGGCCTCCAGAGGGAGGGGTGAAACCCTCTCGGCCAGACAAAGCTGTGTGACCTAGATGTATGACCTAGAGCTGACCCCTGTCCCGCGGCCCCACGCCCCTCTGCCCCCGTCCCACACCCTGCCCAGTGCCCCCCATCCATGTACCTCCAGCTTTGTGGGGCCGTGTAGGTTGGGGCTGAGACTGCAGGGACACAAGTGGGCCCGAGGTTCTGGGTTGTCTTGAGAAATGCAGGGGTGACAGATTGGTCTAAAAACAGGAAAACGGCTCCAGGCACAACAGTCGGGATTGGCTCCCCGGGGAGCAGCACAGGGTATGAAAAAGCCCCGTGTTCTGGTCATTGTGGGCAGCCCCCAGGTCAGTCCAAGAGGAAGTCACCACATAGTAACAAACACAAGCCCAGCTGTGCCAGCTCATTGCTGATCAGGGCTTCTCCCCCTCGCCCCCCACCCCCACCCCCCACTTTGTAGTAACTTGTAAGAATCTCGAAAAAATCAAATGAGATTAGTTGGCACCTGAAATGGTGCTCTTCATGGCAAATATCTATAAACGCCCTCTCCCCCCCCCCCCCCATTTCCAAGAAAAATGACAGGAAAAGCAAAAGCAACAAAAGGGATAATAGGGAGGGGGAGAGGGAGAGAGGTGTCCAGATTGAACTGAGGTTTAGAGAGGGGCCTGGGGCTCAGGAGGTGGGAGCAATGGGCATGTAGCTAAAAGGAACGGAACCTAAAATCCCTCACTATAAATAAGCAGATGGGCAGCGCTGGCCTGCAAGCCCCATGCCAGAAGTTAGAGTATTCGTCTCCTGAGCTCTGGGGGGGGGGGGGGGGAGAACCCTGCTGCCTACCCCCAGCCCCCCACCCAGGGTATCTGGACTCACGGTCCCCCTTTTGTGTTTCTCACTAGAACCTCTGGTTTGCCAACCCCGGGGGCAGCAACAGCATGCCAAGCCGCACCCACAGCTCCGTGCAGAGGACCCGCTCGCTGCCCGTGCACACTTCTCCCCAGAACATGCTGATGTTCCAGCAGCCAGGTAGGGCCCGGAGCCTGCTCTCTCGCTCTGCTCTCCCCTGACACACCGGCGAGGCCAGGACGCCAAAATAGATGCCCCGGTGAACCCAGCTGGAAAGTGCTTAGCCCCGACTGTCACCACGCATTCTTTCGAGCTTATAGAAGCCTTTCTTTTTTTAAACTGTGCCTTGCCAGCATGAATAGCGGCTGGTTGGCTGGAAGCCAGTGCGAGGAGCCCCATAGTCGTTGCAATCTGACGGGGATATTTTTGATACTAGTCATATTTCTAGGTTGATTAAAGCAGAGATACCACTGGAGGGCTTGGTGGGGCGGGGGGATGGGAGGGGTTCCCTGTGCCATGGGGGCGGGCGGTGTAGAGAGTAAGACAGATAAAGAGAAGGCTTGGCAGCGCTGATGGTAAGGGACCCCTCCCCCACCCCCGGTTTGGGAGTGCCTTGCAGACATGACTGCTGGACCGGCCATCTTTCCTGCACTTGGTCAAAGAGCATCTTAGTGTAACTCAGGTCCATTTCACCTTTCACCTTGCCCCTGAAACAGGCAGCCAGAATTATGTACAACCAGCAAATACTCGCACCCTTTCTCTATGCACACAGGGACCTTAGACTCCACAGAGAATGCAAAGCCACACGAACAGTCACCACTGCACCTACCTAGATGCCCCCCGCAGGCGGGCAAACCCAACGTGCACCTGCAGGGAATGCCCAGCCTGGGCAGTAGATGCTCTCGCTCTGGGCATAAGTCCTCCAGGAGGTTAGGAGGGGCAAGGTGACTGTGGCCTTGGGTGGGCAAGGAAGTGTCTTGGAGTTGGGGCTGAGTTTCAGGGGACAGAGGGTGAGGAGATGGAAAGAGGAAGACGGCACCGCAGGCCGAAGGGGAGCAAGCTTCAGTGGTACCTAGGGCCATGGTGCGTCCCAGAAGCCATTGCTGGGCTGAAGTAGCAGAGGGTTGACCAAGGGAGCTGGGAAGATGGTGCCCGGTGGTGGGGACTCTAAATCCAAGGCCAAGGAGCTCGGAGCCCAGCCGCTGTCAGTGGGGTACCTATGGAAGGTATTGAGCAGGGGGGCCGGCAAGAGTGTGCGTGGACTGTGACGGGGAGGCAGGCTGTGGGTGGGGAGGCCACTGAGGACGAGGAGGGGGAGGGGGAGGAGGAGGAGGAGTGGAGCTGCCGTGGGGCGAGGTGTGCCAGGAAAGGAAGGGGCGTCCACAAGGTCCGGATGCCTGTGTACAGTTGCTTCTTGGCTTCTAGAATGCTCCGTATTTGTGCACTTTTGTTTTAAAGCTCCTTTTCTCTGTTTTGATACTTGTAGCTATTTTTCTTCCCAGGCAGAAATACTGGGTAAAATTCAGGGGTTGTGCATGTTACCCCTGGGTTGTCCAGTCCCAGCCTCTGCTACCATGCAGAATTGTGGGTAATCCACTCCCAGTGACAGAGAATCTGGGCAGGACTTGAAGGCATCCTGGGCACCAGGTCTGTGACCTTAAGCAAACATCCCACGGCCAGGCTCAGACAAGGACTCACCCTCCAGAGACAGGGCCTCGGAGGTGAGCCAGGCGCTGGGCCTCCTGTGCAGGTGGGGCTTTCCTGCAGGAGTCAGGAAGGCAGAAGGCGGCTGTAATCGTGAACACAAAAGGGAACAGAGACGTGACCAACCCAAAATTAAATGCTCAGAGAGCCGCGTCACAGGCAACATAGTGGTTTCTTCCTGGCCGGCGATGGCTTCGGATGCCACTGGCAAAGTGGGATCCTAAAGGTTTCCCTCCTAACATGCCGACCTGTCTCTTACTCTGAAGTCCTGAAGCCATCGGCCTCCTGCCTCAACCTCGATGCCTTGAGAGAGATGCGCAATTGCACCCTGGGTACCGTTTTAAACCCTCTGGGCAAATCTTGGAGACTGCAATGCATTCTAAAGGAGCTTTGATTTATTCTGTTAACTTAAAATGATTCATTGAAATCACGGAAGACTTTACATAGCTCCAAAGAATATAGAAAAGGCTGGGGGCTAGAACCAGCACCAAGTTGAGCATCAACTAGTCAGTTGCCTCGCTCAGATGTGCAAGAGGCTCCCCTCTCTTCTGGACCCAGAGTCTGGCCCCTTGGCAGCCACGTCAGGGTGGTTTTCACCTTATTCCCACACACGCAATTTCTAGACGCTTCCCGGGACGAGCCAGGAGAGCTACGGGGGATGGTTGCCTCTCGCTGCCTCAGGATACACGAGTAGGAAACACGAAGCGAGGGGACAGGGTCTCATGGACTCACCCCGGAGGGACTTGAGCTCAGAACACGCATGGCGCCCGGTGAGAGGGCTCAGAGTCCTCGCAGAGGCACAGCGTTTGCCCAACTGCAAAACTCGTCTGGAAACGGCTTGCAGAACGGTGCCCTATCTTGGAAGCAGCTCGATTCCTGTTGATGCGGCTCAGCCACCCTTGGGGTCCAGTCCTGGAGCAACACTGGGAAGCTGAGGCTCCCGACACCTGGAGGGCCAGAGAGTGAAAGGGCAGAGGGCGGCAGCAGCAGGCCTCCAAGGACAAGCACGGCAGAGGGTCGGCTGGCAGTCCCACGGAGATCTCGCTCTTCCCTTGCACAAAACCATGTGCACACGACCCCTGGTGCTGGGCCACCAGATGTGAGATGGATACGGAGTGCCTTCTGTGGCATTTCCTGGGAACATACCTGTTCCCATCATCCTCCCCTCTGCACCAGCTCACGCTTGCACTTCTCCCACCATTAGACTGCTGCACGTCTAGGAGCCGTCACCATTCATTTCCCCCTTCGTGTGAGTGAGTTTCCCAGTTCCTTTCAGAGAGCTGCCTTCGAGAGAGTGGGGGAAGGGAGAGGGCATAAGAGCCCTGGGTGCATGAGGGGAAGGCAGGGGCTGCCATGCAGAGGCAGAGGCCAGAACAAGGACCCCCTTAAATAATAAACATTTGCCCTCTGCCCTCTAGTAAGTAGGCCAACGGCCCTGCTCAGGGAGGTTGGTGAGTTGAGTCCATTCTATCACAGCCAAGAACCCAGCTGGGCCCGTGCCCCCCTGCGTCTAAGAGTCACATGCAAAGAGACCAACTTGCGGCAAGATGGGGCAATATTATTGTCTTGCACCATATTCCACTCATCAGTTTTTGGTGAAACTGTGGGTCCTGGAGGATTTCCACAACACTTCCTCCGCAGGTTTAGGAGTGAAGCCACCGGAGAAAAGCCTCAGCCACCATCACAGACTCGGCGTGCGACTCATTCATTACTCATGTTCCCCCCTCCCCGACCAAGACTCTCGGTGATCACCAGTCTGCCTGCCACGCTGACCCCGTTTCCTGCCCACACTGCTCTCTTTGCCTTGTGTTACCATCCTCCCCTTTTCTTCTTGGTTCCGGCTTTGTCTCCCTCTCTTCCTTACCTGCCCCCCCCCCCCATCACAGTGATCCAGGTCCCACTTCCCATCCTCTGTCCCTTCCTCACCAGCCTGTCTTTCCTGAGTTCTCTCCAGCCATTGGCTCTGCTTCTCACTTCACCAGACTTTCAAAGCCTTTCAGCAGAGGAGCCTCAGCTGTCACTGGCAAAGTGGGATCCTAAGGGTTTCCTTCCTAACATGCCGACCTGTCTCTTACTCTGAAGTCCTGAAGCCATCGGCCTCCTGCCTCAGCCTCGATGCCTTGAGAGAGATGCGCAATTGCACCCTGGGTGCCACAGGCGTGAAACTCAGCAGGACTGCCCTGTGGTTGCCGTGGGAAAGCCACCTGGGCCACCCAAGTGAAAAGTCCCAAGTCAGCCTAGGCCCTGGGCATCTGAGAGCTGGGAGCCACACTGACTCCTGGAACGGTCTGATGGTGAGGGAAGAATTTCCAGTGCACGGAGGTGGCATCTGAGCCGAAGAGACAGCAGAGGACTCAGGTGCAGAGTCCTTCCTTTTTGCCTTCTAGGAGACTAGAAACCGCATCTGCCTGGTCCATTACAGCTGGGGGCCCAGGATCACTGCGATGAATCGTAGGGACAGCAGGAACAATGGCAAGAGTTGGCTGGTGGTTACTGTGGGCCTGTGGAGCAGGAGCTGCCCGGATGCTCCTCTAAGGTTCTGAGAGCTGCACCCACCCACCCACCCACCCACCCACACGTGGCTGAGGCAGGAGGCTGGTACCCACCTGTCTTGTATGTGCAAAGAGATGCAGCAGATCTGTTTTTATCAAATACCCAATTAAGAAGTCACACTATTAGGAAACTCGGGAATATGAACATATGTGTTTCTCCAAGACTTGGAGCTTTTCAGAGCCATTCTGAGAATGGAGCGGGTCATGACTCCCCGGCGCGCCGGCGGGAGGAGCTGGAGGAGGAAGAGCAAGCACGCCCACTCTCCGCCTAAAAGAGCAGCCACGGAGGTTTGGAGATTCTGGAGCGTAGAGCCCTGCACTTCTCAGCCCCCTTTTGGAACACGCAATCCCAGGCTTGGAAAATGTCATTTTGCTGCGTGTTGGCAAGAAATCCTGCAGCTGAGACACTTCTCTCCAAATGTCGAGCATCTTTATTTATCCAAATCTCTCCACAGTGTTTGTTTAAAGGGAAGTGCTAGAGAGTAAACTAAATTTTACAATGAGCATATGGATGGCTATAATTGCTGAGGGTGTTTTTTTTTTTCATATTTGCTAACTGGCTATATATAAAACTGTGTTTCTCTTTTAGAGATTTCACACCCTGAAGGCTGCTAATTTTTGCATGCATATGATTTTCACATGAATGGATGGAAACACTAACATACTCTCCCCCCTGGATTGTCTAAGTGCCCGGGCCCCACGTTGAGAGCTGCCAGCAAAGGGGGCGGGGGAGACCCTTGCATTTTCCCTCTCAGTCGCCCTGGAAGCTCCATTGGCCTCCTGATCTGGCACAGAAGTTCCACTGATGCTGGCACTTGTGTGCAGAACCCTTTCTGCTCCCCAGTGCTTTCTGCGTCGGTCCGTTCTGCCAACCTTCTCTTTGAGAAGTGTACGTAACGGAAATGACATCTGCCTCTGAATGAGCTGGTCATGGGGAACCCAGATTGCAAAGGGCATTTAAATGTACAGCCAACCAAGGAAAACAAATGCGTACTTTGGTTTAGCCATTGGTTTCAACTTCCCATCCCACCAAACCACCAGCGCATTTGTAATCCTCGGCCCAGGCCCTGAACGCCCCCTGGTGGAGATGTGAAGGAGCAAGGACATGGCCTTAAGTTTGGGACACCGGCGGAATCTTTACGGGGAGAAGAGCTAAGGCCCCAAGAAGAGAACAGCTTCCCAGGGTCACGTGTGGAGGCAGGGGCAGTGCTGAGACTCCCCAGGCACAGAACACACCCCCTGGCTGATGTTTCTCCTGCCTCCCCGCTCTAGGACTTCAGGTCTTAGCTGTCAGAGTTGCTGTGTCTTGCTCCATTTCTGATCCCTCAGTGGGCATGGACGAGGTGTGCAGAAAGCCATGCCGGGGTATTATGGGAGATTCCGAGGACTATGAAAGCATCGTCGCTGTCTGCAAGGCACTTCCAAGCTAGTCAAGGACGTTCAGGAGCGCCACAGGATAAGGGGCCGGGGAGAGGCTGACCACAGGGGTGGGACCGAGGAGGAAGGCCCCAGGGTCTGGAGCCTGGGGAGACAGGGAGGGTCTGCAGAGCAGACATCTCAGCCCAAGGCTGTGTTGGCAGGGAGAGCACGGGCTCTGGGTCCAGTCCCATGTGGGTTCCTGGCCCAGCTGTGTGTCCGCTGGCTAACCTTGGCGGGTCACTCAGCTTCACGGAGCCCCACCTGGGAACCTGGCGCCCGGCGCAGGCTCAGGCGCAGAAGAGGTGCTTTCCACGCTGTGGTTCCCATTTCCTGCTGCTCAGAAGGAAGCAGACATGGGCCTGCTGGGCCTGGGGCAGGCACGGGGAGCAGAGCCACGGCCTGTTCCAATGAAGCGAACTTTCAACTGGGGAGGCATCAGATAAATGCATATGTCAGGTGCTGTGCCATCGATGCAGTGAAGGAAAGCAACAGAAAGGGATGGGGCCGAAAAGTCCTGTCCACATACAATGAACAGAAGGTCCTTTCTGGGGAGACAGTAGAGCAAGAGACCACATAGCAGGGAGAGGGAGAGCCGTGGAGACATCCAGACCCAACATTCTGGGCAGAGGGAACAGCAGTGCAAAGGCCCTGGGGCCGAGGAGGACCTGGGGTAGACTGGAGGAGGAGAGAGTGTACCAGGGCAGGAGCTAACAAGGAGCCAGACTGTGTGGGGCCTGCAGGCCATGGCAGGAGTTGGGTTGCCTCTGATGGGAAGGCGCTAGCTGGTTCTGAGCAAGGGACTGACAGACGATTGCCTCTGAGCAGCTATTCTTAGTCCCCACTCTTCTTCCAGCCGCCCACATTCACAGTGGACTCAGGGAGTGTGACCTCGGGGGGTTGGTTGAACCCGAGTGTAACCTGGCCTCCATGCTGGCCCGACAGTACCCCCAGGTCCTCCCAGGGAGGCCCAGCAGACCCTCACCCTGGCAGGTGGAGCCAGGGGCACTGTGCACACTTTCTCTTTGTTCTTAGAACCCCCGTCACCAACATAACCCTTTGCCCCCTGCAGAATTCCAGCTTCCCGTGACTGAACCTGACATCAACAACAGGCTGGAGTCCTTGTGCCTCAGTATGACCGAGCACGCCCTGGGAGGTGAGTGTCCTCCTGGTGTTTCTCATGCCCGGAAGAGCCACTGGCCACCTGCTCTCTACACTCTGGCAGTCATCTGGGGGGATGGGAAGAGCACAAGAAGGGGAAGGCAGGGGACCAGAGAGAGAGGGGCCTCAGGGGCTACTGGACTGTCATCAAGCCACCCCACACCCACTGGCCCACGTGCCCACTCGTCCTCCTTTTTTTGGGAGGTGAGTCAGGAGGACCTGGAGCCGAGCCCGGTCCCCTTTCCCAGAGGCTCGCCCCGCAGTGCGCACGGGAGTCCCACCACGGGCCAGCCCAGCCCAGCGCAGGGAGCACGTGGCTTCGAGTGGGAACATGCCCACAGCACGGCATTCTTTCCTCCTCGGCACTAGATTCCCCAGCCTGGTCCAAGCATATCCCAACTTGCTCTAAAACCAGGAGTTTTGAGACAGAAATCCCTGCTTGCTTTTATATCCAAATGGCTCCACAGTGCCTGGCGCCCCGGCAGGCCGAGGTGTCCTTCACAGTGAGATGGGGTCATCTAGTCGGATGTGCCTGTGGTGGGCAGGGCTGTGGCCGCGAAGAGCTCCCAGAAGCAGCGGGTCCTCCCTTCATCTGTTTGAAACCCTGCATTGTCACCGCAGCCCCGGGAGGACTCCGTGCCCTCCTGGTACTAACCGGGTGCCTTTCTCCAGCCGGGACTCGCCGCCAGCCCCGGACGTTTGGCAGGCAAAGGAGAGCCGTCCGCTCCTTCCTGCCAGCGTCCGGGGCGGCTCTGAGTCATGGAGATCCAGAGAGGCCTCCTGTGACCCTTCCCTTTGGCCTCGGTCTGGGTGCACTCACACCGCCCCCCCCCCCCCCACCCCGCAGAGGCGGGCCAGCAGCACACCTGGGCCAACATTTGTGTGTCTGGGGGGGAGGGGGGGCAGGGCCGGCAGGGAGTGGAGGGGAAGCTCCACCAGCTACTCTGGAGAGCGTTGTCCTTCTGCCCAGGGATTTTTGAATTTTAGTCTCTGCACACCCAGCCTTACCCTGAAACCAAATGAGGCAGATTAAAATGCTCTGCACGGAGCAGAGCGGAGGGTGTGTGCGCGGCTGTCCGCAGCCGGAGGAAGTGTCCGGTCAGTGCCGGAGGGAGGGGACCCGAGGCCTCTGGGGCACAGCTCCTCCTGCGACCTCCCCGGGTGCCGGGAGCGCCATGTGCACACACTGCTCTCTCCCTTGGCCATTCGGATCCTGGAAGCTGCACAGCCTCCTTGGTCCATCCCTGGTACCTCAGGGATGAGCCCCCCCACACACACACTTCTCCAGCTCACGGAGGAGACGGGGTCAGCCCACACCAGTAGCCCCTAACGAGTAAAGAGAAACCACCTCAAGTCCATCAGCAGGTGGAGATGGATGAACAAAATGTAGTATAACCATACGGTTCAGCCTTAAAGAGAATGAAGTACTGACACAGGCTGCGACCTGGCGGGGGGAGGGCGGCGGGGGCGGCAGACATGCGCTAAGTGAAAGGAGCCACACGGAACAGGATTCCACTCGTGAACTGATGACATGTCCAGAGCAGGCACATCTATAGGGACAGAAAGGACAGACTGTGGTGGTCAGGGGCTGCAGGGAGGGGGGAGTGGGTGCCAGAGTTGTTCTTGGGGACGACGAAAATATCCTGGAATTAGATGGTGGTGATGGTTGCACAGTTCTGTGAATATACTTAAAACCGCTGAACTGTACACTTTAACAGGATGAAATTCATGGCATGTGAGTCATATCTCAATTTTTCTCATAGAGGGAACCCCCATAGACCTGAGTCATCAGGCCACTGCGGGCGGCCCGGGCACCCTCCCACCTGCTGGTGGCTGGGGTGCTGGGGGGCGGGGAGGGGGGGGGGCGGCGGGAGTTCTCCCTGCCTCTGAGCCAGCAAGGAGACTGGCCTTTTCCCCCAGGGCTGGATATTTATCAGATAATTGGCATATTGGAAGCTCTTACCCAACTGCTAAGGACTAACATTATCATCATTAGTAACAAGAATGCCGAATGCTCTTTATTAAAGGGAGGCTTTTATTCCAAAGGCTTCATTTTTCAGCCCATTCTTCTGTTGTTGTTTTTTTACAGAAAACCTCTTTCTGAACGGATGTGTTTTTGCTAATGTTTCCATCTGATTAATCTCCTAAGCTTTTTTATTGCTGTGTTTCTTCTTCTCGGTAATCCTCTGGTGGGAAGCCTCATAAGCAGCTTCCCCGAGCAGGGAATGCAGATTACGTTCCGGGTGGCCCAGCTGGGCACAGGGGCCGAGTGCCCCCCTGCTAGGGCAGCACCTCTCTGCCCACCCACCCCTTCCAGGTGCCAGGGGAGGGGACCTTGCTGGGGACAGAATGGCGATGGATTAAGTCATTTTACAGGAAGACGAATAACCAGGGAGAGGAAAGCAGACTAGGAGGTTCCCCTGCTCGCGCCTCCGGAAAGGCGAGATGTTCGGGCTCCTGGGGCACCGCGTCCCCAGATGGACGTTCTGTGCGGCTGGTCCACGGCCCGGGCCCTGGGAGCCCATCCTTCTGTGCCGATGTCTCTGCTCTCTGTCTCCTCCCCCAGTGCTGCCCTCCTGGTGCCAGTCTTACCCCGCTTTTCTCTTTGGTGCTCCCTTTTCCTCTCCTCTGTTCCCTCCAGCACAGCCCCCTGAGGAAACCCTGGGTGGGTGGGTTTGTGAGTCTCCAGTAAGGCTTAATTACTCTGGCTGTTTGGGGCTTGCCCCTGCCTGGTGGCCCAGGTTTCAGGAAGTCTCAGTGCCCAGCCTGATTGTTATTTTCTGACAGCGGAGGGTTTCTATGGGCAACCAGTACAAAATCGAGGTTCCTCCCAGCAGAATGGAGTCTGAGTGAGGTGTACCATAGAGAGGAGTGCGCAGTCCCTCTCATGTGCCGGGGTTCGCGCTTCCCCCATGACCCCTGCCCTTCCCATCACTGTCTCTCCTGGCTCCGTCCTGGGTCTTACAGCCCCACGCCTAGCCGACAGGAAGATTTGCGCAAGTTAGGAAATGGCTCCACTTTCTCAACCTGCCGTTCTGCCTTTTATTCGAAATATGTTGTCCCTACTGTAAATGCTATGATGGTGGCATGTGAATAGCACCCCCTGGAGTTGTGCAAGGCACAGTTTGCCCAGCAGTGAATGGTGAGTCTGGACTTGCCTGTTGGTCCTTTCCCTGCAGATGAAAACCGTCACCTTTGGGTAGATGAGGTTTATGGCTGGAATTCCTGAAAATGTGACTAGGGGTTGGGTAGTTGAGATTTCCAGGTTTCCAGCTCCCACTCCCGCAACTATGAAGGGTTGGCAGTAATGAGTGGGCCAGGGAGCTCTGGCAGGAGTGTGCACTGCGGATGAGGGAGTGACCGATGCACCCCCACCCCACGCACACATGTGTGTGTGCACACACACCCTCCTGTTCTCCCATCACCAGTTCCCACTGCAGAGCCACCACTGGAGGTGCAAGTAGACACCCACAGAAGGAGGGGAGAGGTTATGGGTGGTAAATTCACATCTGAGGGCCTCTAGGATTGGCGATCTGATACCACAGATGACCTTAGGGGGTATCTGCTTCCCTCATTTAAAAACACTCCAAATTTTGGATAGAATTTACACACACACACACACACACACACACACACACACGTCCAAGTAAAACTGGGGAAATCTACATAAGATGGGCAAACTGTGTCAATATCTTGGTGGTGATAATGTACTAAAGCTTTGCAAAATAATACCATTGGGGAAACCTGGTACTATTTCTTACACCCGTGTGTGAGCCGACAGTGATCACAATCAAAATTTCAATTAAGAAATCTTTCTCCTCCAAGTCCCTGCTGGTGAGACACCGGCCAGGCACCGCCAGGCGGGGCCCAAGAGACCCCTCAGTGGCCTCAGGACGCCTCCCCACCACGTAGGTCCTCCAGCTGTCCCTGAAGCATCCTGCCCTCCCCTCACACCTGAGTCCTGCCCAGGGCATCTGGAGGCTCCATCTGGTAGGCCAGGTTTGCGATATCTAGGCTGAGACTGGGACATGTCTGCTGGCGTTTGGATATAAGCAAAACCAGGCAGGCACCCTGCACCCCTTCCCCCGACCCCCGTGGCCTTCGGGTCGTGGTCACTGAGCACAGCCATTGGTACCCCTGTGATGACGACTAGCCCTTGCCCCTCTGTTTGCTCACTGATGAGCCCTCGTTGGCTCCAGCATGGACCATTGTAGGCGCCTCTTCACTGGTGGTCCTGCCACCAGCCTTGCCGGGAAAACCATTCTAAAATCAGACCAGGCAGCTCCCCTGCTTATATTCCCTAACCCCCCACATCCAAGCTCCCGTTCATAGTACCAGACCCTAACGGTCTGGTTCCAGGCACTCTCCTACAGTCTATGTGTAAGCGGGAAGCCGGGAAGGGGTCAGGCAGCCCTGGGCCCCTCTGCCGTCTGTCCACTCAACGGCTTCTCAACTCTGGCGCACATGCCCCCACTCCCCCCCCACTTCATAGCCCGCAACCAGACACGGCACATCCTGGCGGCCTCGACACTGTCCGTCTTCCACAGGCTCCACCGTGCCCGGTGCCCACCACTCCTAACCGTGGTGCCTGCCCCTGGTCTGGTTCTTGAGACAGAATCCGAGTCAGTTTGGGTCCCATGCGTCCCCCAGTTCTGCTCAGCTGTGATCAGGGCTCAGAGTGACACCACCTCATTCCCAGTCATTTTCAGCAGAGCCTCAGGATGGGAGGGAGAGGCTCCCAGAGAGAGGGATGTGAGTGAGGTCCACCTGCAGGTGCATTGTAGGCCGTGCCTGACTGTGGCTCCTCTCCGGCCACTCCTCCGTCCCCGTCCTTCACCCTAAACCCCCAGCCTGCCCGCAGCTCACCGTTTGATGGCCGTCATCATGCCTATTGGTGAGCTGTGTGCCCTCCCCAACTCATCCTCTCCGGCTGCTCCTCTCTCCTCCTGCAGCAGCGTCCACGAAAGTCATGTTGTATCTCTGGGAAACGGTCCCTGGTTTCTAAGGGTGACTTAACACTGCTTCCCCGTGTTTCTGCCGTGCCTGGTACACACTGCATTGCAGCACTTGCCACTCACACACCACCGTGGGCTTACCTGAATGAGTTGGGACTAGGATGTGAGCACCGGGACGGCGAAGGTTGGGTCTCTACGCCTTGGCTGCCAGCTCAGTATGGTTACCGGCCAAATAGCTCCTTCCCAGCTGGTGAGGGGGTGGGTGTGGAAGGACTGAGTGAGTGACTGTAGCCCTGATCTGTCCTCAGAGACTGAGAGGCCCGACCTGCATGGTGTGGGACCAGGTGGCTGCTGGGAACTGCTTTGCTCACGGTGCCCGCTGTGTGCTCTCTCTCCAGACGGGGTGGACCGGACCTCCACAATCTAAAGCTGAAGATGGGGGAGACCGCGCTGGCCGTGAAATCGACTGCTGCGGGTCCAGTGTCAGCCATCATCGGGCTGCACGGAATCCTCCGGGATCCTTCGCAGCCCTCCCCTGGTCCCTCTCCCACTTTGATTTTGTGAGAGCGTAGGTCATCCTTGTAAACGTATCAGTAGACCTGGGATTGGTTATTCTGTCATTTGTTTGTGTCCTGGGGTGGCTTGGTGGGGGAGGGCGGGGGTGGGGGCCTCTAGGGGAACGTGGGACTGGGGGGTGGGGGGAGGTGGAGGGAATGCAAGTGGCTTCCTGAAAGGGAGGGGGAAGAAAGTCCTGCCTTGAAAGAGAGAAGAGAGACCCAGGAGGGAGGCCAGAGCCCAGCCCTGAGAGCCGCTCTGGAGGCCGGCCTCACCGCCTGGCCCTGGGAGGAAGTCACGGCTGCGTGTGACCAAAGCAAGACGGCGCTCGCTCTTCTGTTCCCCATTGGACTTCCCTGAAGCCCCCGCTTGGGATCGAGCCCCCAGAGAGGGCCACCGGGCAACGGGGGCAAGAAGGGAGAGCTTCCCTCCAGCGAAATTTCAGAGAAACTTTGATTTGTGTATTGTTTACATAACAGCTCTAAAGGGTACATGCCATGGAAAGCCTTGGATGGAACTTCTCTTCATGCTGTGGTTTTTGTGAAGGGTCTGTTGTATGGATTCATTCCCCTCTATTTTTATACCAGCAGCAGGGCTGTCTGTTCCGATGGCTCTGCTCCCGGGAGGCGGCATGGTCTCGGTGGGCGGGGAGCGTGCAGGTGGGTTTGAAGGATGAGGTGTGCTGACCTGGGCCCCGCGCTCGCTTGGGGGTGCGGGGGGGCCCTCAAGGAGGGGTTTTTAAAGGCCCTGAGGCCCTTTCTCTGCTAGACTTGCTCTCACCCGAGACCGCCCCCCGCCCGACCACAGGCTCTCAGCCCGTCGCTGGCTGCACACACAGGTGGGACGAGTGCCCCTGGAGAGAAAAGGCAAGGATGGACATTGGTTTCCTTGCAAGAGGCCTTACTACCCAGATAATGAGCTCAAAACGCCTATGACGTGGGTCCTCCCGGGACCCTGCGCCTGGGGCCGCCCCCTCTGAGCTGGTTCTCTGCTGAGAGGGAGGAGGAGGCCCCGGCCAGCAGCCGTCGGAACGGTCAGTCCGCAGGTGGCAGAGGGAGCGGAGGCAGGTGTACGGCCGGCCGCCCACCGTCCGGCTGGGCAGTGGGAGGCGTGGAAAGGGAACTGTGTGATGGAAGCGGCGCTCCGTCCGCAGGGTGTTCGTGAGGGATTTGCTGTGTTGTGGGCTTTCCCCTCCACACAGAAGGGAGAGAGAGCCACTCTTTACCTGGCGGGAGATTAACAGACACTGCCACGGAGTAATAGCTCTATGTCTTAAGGGCAAGAAAGACTCCGTCTGGGAATCCGACTCGATGGAGGGTGTCCGGGGGAATGGGAGAGGACTGCTGTGCGCTGGAAACCGGGCTGTGTCAGTGATGGAGTGAACGCTCAGCCGGAGGCGGGACCGGGGAGAGGGTATGAGGTCTGTTTAGTAAATGGGCGAATCTGGTGCCTTTTTTTCTTTTTTCTTTTTTTTTAAGTGAAGTCGGTCAGAATTGAAAAGATCAGACCATGAAAATTGCTGCACTTGCTCATGGTTATTGAAAAGAAAAGTGTTAATGAAATAAACACCGATGTCAAAGGCCTTAATGAAATTCAAACAACTTCCTTTCACCTTCAGGATTAAATATGTACCCCCCACGCAGCCTTGAGTGGCGTTGGAGGTTGTGATGAGATTTTTCCAGTCCCTTTAAGGTCTAAAAGGGTGAGGGCATCTTAACTGTAGAGAGCCTTTCGCAAGCCAGCGAAGGCTGGAACCTACAAAATCATGGAGAGAGAGAGGGAGAGAGAGAGAGAGAGAGAGAGAGAGAGAGAGAGAGAGAGAGAGAGAGAGGGGCTCTCTTTGGGTGGCACATTCTAAAGACGCAAATCCATGTGCAGAAAGAGGCGGCATTTTTTAGTTGATTTTTTTTTGTAACCAAGTGCCATTAACATTCATCCTCCACATCCCTTTTCTAAATAAGCCTGGTGTTATTTGAGGAATGTGTTGGGATGGACGATCACATGTAAGGCAGGAAAAATAGGCTAAAAATGTTGAAGGCCAAAGGTAGGACTAGAGGGTTTGCGGAAGTGGTTTTTGGGTGCTGAGGACGTTAAAGGCGACGGCACCACGCATCTCGTGGAGAAATGAGAAAGCGTCCGGATCTGTGCAGAACACATGCATAGAGACGGCGGTGGTTCAGAAACCAGATTGTGAATACAATCACACTAGCATGACTCCTTTAAAAGGAAGACCTTACACGTATTTGCAAATCTGAATTTCTATTTATTCCTTCACTGAATATAGAAACAATGGTTATCTGATTATTAGAGATATTATTTTGGATATGTTACTTTATTAACTTGCTATGGCTGGTAACCATGATAAAGTCTGTTATTAATAACAACATATTCTTTTTTTAAAAAAAGAAAAGAAAAGCTTATTTTTATTGACTGTGTATAGATTTATCTACTTAGTTGTGTTTTGCTCTTAGTGTTTTAATTTTTTTTTTTTTTAAGTTGAGTGTTCTGATCAGTTTTAGGAGCCTAGCCCCACTTCGTTACGAGTCCTGTGTTGACTGCAGGTATACAGCTCAATTTGAAAATCTTAAAGCAAAAGAATTTTATTTATAAGAGAGTCAAACAGTTGCATGCGTGAGGCTGTGACGTCGGATGTTTAGTACTAACGCGGCAGTGCCTTTTTTTGTAACTACCCATTGACCCACAGATGCGACTGTTTTATATTAATAGTAAACATTCAAGATCTCCGAGTAAAATCTATTTCCCATGTTTCCCCCCACTTGTTCTGATTTAAGCAGTGTGTGTGTGTGTGTGTGTGTGTGTGGCATCTCTACACTGTCCCAGGGACAGTGACGTTCTACAATATTGTTATCATGTGTGATGTTTTACTGGTGCTTTTTATTCATAGTGGTTTCTTAACAGAAACGATAGGAAGACACACATGAACTGTGTACAAGAAATGAAACGTTGCTGCTGATACGTCGTCGTTTCCACATGCTTTTTGAGTTTCCCTTTCTAACCGAGGGCCAGCAAGCAAACTTGACCTTGCTGGGCCTGCCTGCAGGAGGCAGCTGTTTGCACCGAGCTCTCCTGTCCTGGGTGTCGATGGTCCCTGTTGGGTGCTCAGGAGGGCGCCACAGCTGGGCCCCTGCCTCCCACTCGTTTGAAGAGACACTGAGGGAAACGCGGTTTTCTTTTGAGGTGTCACTGGTTGCCTTTTACGGGGTGGGAGGCTTCTCCGGGTCTGCTGTCCTCCTGCACCTCTTGGAGCTAGTGCCAGGGCAAGGTGTGCAGGCCTGCACGCCCAGCTAGCGTGAGGGTCTCACCCAGAGCCCGGGCTGCGCCGGGCTGGGGTGCACAGGCCTGCGACCAGAAGGGCAGTGAGGGGAGGACAGCCGGCCCCGGTCTCGCTGGCCCTCTTGGAGATGCCCGCGGCAGGCCCTCCAGCTTGGGTGCCAAGGAGCAGCCTGGCCCAGGCGCTTGGCGTGCCTGTTACGAGGAGGACCGGCAGAGGAACATTTGCACATGGGGCTGTGATAACACTAGTGTTGATTTTTTTTTTTTTACAAGTCATCTGAGATGTTTGCAAAGTGAGTTTTATTATTTTTTTTGTAATTCCTTTATCTTTACTTAAAGGTGAATGTGTATTCCTCTGGGAGGAATAGGAAGAAAACAGGAATGTTAATAGCGTCCAACAGAAGACTTCCTCCCTTATTAATATATAACCCTCATGTATTTATGCCTAATGTAAGCTGACTTTTAAAGAGCTTTCTTCTGTTGCATGCCCCATGCAGGCATCTCTATTGTACATGCATGCCTTTTGTCCTGTTTTCCTGTATAAAGTTAGTGAACAAAGAACTATTTTTGCCTAGTTCATGTTGCCAAGCAATGCATATTTTTAAAATTTGTCATATATGGAAATAGCATGTTTGTTACATGTAAAAGCTTTACTGATACACAGATATACTAATGTTTGGAGATGCTGTTCTTTGCAAGTGTACAGTTTTCAAATGTTGTTACCAGTGAAACACCCTTGTGGTTTAAACTTGCTACAATGTATTTATTACTCATTTCCTCCCATGTAACTAAGAATCATGGCTATATTTCATATCAACGTTATATTGAAAGTGAAGGGAAATGATTAATACAAGGTTTTGTAACACTGGTGTGTGTGAGTGTCGTTTTTTTTTTCCTTTTTGTCAATATGATCGATTAGAAAACAAGAACTGATTCTTAGGAATAAGCCAGCAAGGAAGAATGAGCATGACATCCCTGTAAACTATTCCCACCTGGCCATTCTATGCAAACAATGTCTTCATCTATGAACTGCTTTTTTTTTAAGCAGTTTTATGCAGTTTGATCTGCGCCCAAAGTAGCCAATAAATGCATCGCCTGACCAAGGGGCATGTATCTAAATAGAAACTCTAACCCTATAGATCAGCGGTCACCAACTGGCAGTCTGTGGACCGCTGGTGATCCATGGACCACTGGTGGTCCGTGGACCGCTGGTGATCCGTGGACCGCTGGTGGTGCGTGAGGTCCGAAAGGATGGTGACCGCTGCTGTAGATGGTATTGTTTATAACTTGCTCTCCACCCTGAATGCCTTTGAAATCATATTTTACTCTTTACCGCTTAAAGAAACAGCAACCTCCTGGGAGCCTTGGGGTTTGAACTACAGTACACATAATGTAAATCTCATTTTAATACTTCTAATCCCACTTTGATATATAAAATATATTAATATAAATTCTAAATAATGTTGGCTAAGCATATGGCTAAAGAGACTAACCTGAGTTTGAAATTTAGCTCCAGCATTCTCTGGCTGTGTGATGTTAGGCTAGGTACTTAACCTCTCTGAGCCGTGAGTTTGGTTTTTGACCTATTTTTACTCAAGGTTTATATAAGTAAATCTCTAATCCAAATAATAATAATAATGTTAAAGACAAAAGAAAACAGAGGCTATAGAGGTTATTGCCACCAAAACCTAGTAGCCCAAGATTTCTCTGAAGCAACCACATTTTGACATTGGGACAATGACCGCGGGGCAACTCCCTGCTCATCAGCTCAAGCTACTCAGGAGACATGTGAAATTCAAAATGCTCCCTAGAAACACAGAGAAATGCCTGAGACATTGAATGAAATTCTTCCTAAAGTTAAATTCGTATAACCCAACTGAGCTGTATATCTCAGTGTATGACAGAGTATTTTAAAGGAGGGAGGGAGAAGAGTGGACAAGAGAAAAGTCCGGCCTCCCTGTGGACGTGTGTGGGATGAGGGTACGTGGGAGAGCGAGGGAGAGGGAACATAAAGGGCTCAGCATGGTGCCGGGGCGGGGCAGGTTAGCAATTTTGACCCACAGCTGCAGCTCCTTCCCAGCGAGCTTTGTAACAGAACGTTCAATGCCGGAGACAAGGCTGCTCGCCTTGGTAAAGGTGTAGGACTCCCCCTAACAGTCCTTTCCTGCCCCAAACAGATGGAATTCCATTATTAAACGGATGACGGACACCTGTGTCGCTTGCTGGCTTGGGAGAGGCTGGCGATGGCTTGAGCCAGGAGCCCAGATGGGTGCTCTCCATCCACACGCTCCGCCCTAAGGAAACAGTGGAGATCGAAACTCGTGAACGCACCTTGGCTTGGTGCCTTCAGCAGCCACGAGTGACATCTACTGCGGCCTGGGCTCCCCCTTAGCCCAAGACCCACTGTCCCAGGGTTTGAGGGGAGGGTTTGGGGTTCCCCCATGGCCGGAACCTGATCCTCGAGGAAGCTGTGGAGCAGCCGGGGTGGGGCTGGCCCGCCCGGAGGCACAGCGCGGCCCAGACTTTGACCCTCGCCCCTGGCCCCTGGCCCCTGGGCTGTGCTGGCATGTCACACTCCAGCACCGACCTCCCGGGTACCATCCCCCGGCTTCTACAGGCACTTCCGCTTTCTGTCCTCCATCCACCCATCTCAGTCCTTGAGAGCCGCCACCTCTGGGCCCGGCAGCCTCTGGGTCCTCCACAGGAGGTGGGATGCCGGCTCACTCTGCTTCTCACCCCCTCTGGGAGTCCCACCTGTGGAGGTGGCTGTTTATTTCCAGCCCACACAGTTCAAGTTTCTGTAAAATACAATAAAAGTAAAAGAAAAGTTTTAAGACCCTGATATTGTACTAGAGCCAATGGATAAAATTACTCTGTCAAGTTGCTATCAAGTTCTAACTCCTTGAGCCGTGGGGTCAGCCTGCACAATCGCCTGGGAGACGGCCCTCAGGATGAGACGGTGAAAACCCTGACGCCAACTGTGGTACATTTACACCCTGGAATACTAGGCAGCAGTAAAACAGAAGGATCTTGTAGCCTTTGAGACAGCATGGGGGGGAGGAGGGGGCTGGAGGGTAGTATGCTAAGTGAAATAAGCCAGTCAGAGAAAAACAAGTATCACATGATCTCACTCATATGTGGCATCTAATGAACAAAATAGATCCAGAGAATAGAACAATGAACAGACTAATGAATTTCAGAGGGAAGGTGGCGGGGCAGGGGGTGGGAGGGATGAACTAGAGCACTTATATGCATACTAGAGGCCCAGTGCACGGAATTTGTGCACTGGTGGGCGGGGCGAGGGGGGGTCCCCTCAGCTCAGCCTGCACCCTCTTGCACTCCGGGAGCCCTTGGGGAATGTCCGACTGATGGCTTAGGCCTGCTCAGTCAGACATCCTTAGTGCTGCTGTGGTGGCTCCCGCCACCACCGCTGTGCTTGCCAGCCGTGAGCCTGGCTTCTGGCTGAGTGGTACTCCCCCTGTTGGAGTGCACTGACCAGCAGGGGGCAGCTCCTGCATTGAGCGTCTGCCCCTGGTGGTCAGTGCACATCATAGTGACCAGTAAATCCGCCGTTCAGTCGATTTGCATATTAGCCTTTTATTATATAGGATATGCATGGTCCATGGACACAGACAAGAGTGTGGCAAAGGCTTGGGAGTGGTGGGTGCAGGGAGGGGGGGGATCAATGGGGAAAAAACAAAGTGGACACCTGTAATGCTTTCAACAATAAAGATAAATTTAAAAATAAAGAAAAAGAAAAAAACAAAAACCCTGACGCCAACATTTCCCTCATCCAGGCAGGCGGTGCCTACAGTGCACAGGGAAGTGACTGTCTGCTCTGAACAATGCCCACAAATTGGCCCAACAATGGCGAGTGCTTTGTTCACTTACCATTTATCTATATATATATAAAGCCTATATGACTGTCTGACCAGTAGCTATGATGTGCAATGACCACCAGGGGGCAGATGCTCCAACCGGTAGCTATGCCACACACCGAACACCAGGGGGCAGACGCTCAACGCAGGAGCTGCCAAGCGACAGCAACTTTGCAGAGAGCCCTCTCACACTCCAGGACCTCATTGGAGAATGTCAGACTGCCGGTTTCAACCTGATCCCCACAGGCCAGGCTGAGGGACCCCACCTGCCGGAGGGACCCTGCTCACTCTGCAGACGCCTTTTGAGCCCTGGCACCGCCCCAGGTGTGGCCAGCCAGGGGAGAGACCGCAGGAGGTTGGCTCCAGGGCGTGTCTGGCCCATCTCGCCCAGTCCCGCCCCACCGGCCACCTTCTAATTAATTTCCTTTCAATGTGCATGAATCTGTGCACACGGCCTCTAGTAAGAGATAAAAAGGAAAGAGTTGGGAAAGGGTACATGTTGGAAGGGAAGGAAGAGGAGGATCCAGAAGGTACTGGGAGGTGAGAGCCCAAACCTAACGTCCACAGCAACCCTGAGCCCGTGGTCTTTCCCCCTCCCCCCTCTCAGCTCCAGGCCCAGAAGGATGGAGAATAGAGGGTGTCCTCTGGGTGTGTGTCTGTCTATACCAGCTGTGGGCAAACTACGGCCCGCGGACCGGATCTGGCCCGTTTGAAATGAATTAAACCAAAAAAAATAAAAGACCGTACCCTTTTATGTAATGATGTTTACTTTGAATTTATATTAGTTCACACAAACACTCCATCCATGCTTTTGTTCCGGCCCTCGGGTCCAGTTTAAGAACCCATTGTGGCCCTCGAGTCAAAGTTTGCCCACCCCTGGTACACTTGGGACACAGGCATGTGAAGTAGGAAATGGGGTGCCTGGGAAAGTGGGAAACTGGCAAAACTGAAGCCTGCCATCGGGGTTACTACTGAGGAGCTCCCCGGGAGTGGGCGATGGCTCATCGTGTCCTCCTGGCGGCACCCTGGCTCGGGGCTCCCTCCCACCAGCCTTACCCCCCCTCCCCGGTGCCAGACACTGAGTCCTCTGTGATGTAAACCTGGGAATTCTGTGTCTGAGAATTTCCTCCACGGAATATTTTTTCACTCTTAAGTGGTTTCTACTTCAATTTTTAAAGCCAGCGGAGAAACACTTGGCAACTTTATAAAGCTCAGACTTTATAACAAGACAGCTTTGTGTTTATGCTTGACTCAGAGTGCATGTTTTTAAATAGTGTGTTCCACAGTTTTTTGAGGTTTTATTTTTTTTTTTTAAGTCCAATCCAGGAGAAACAACATCGGAGCTTTGGTGAGGGCGGCCCCAGCAGCCCTGCGGACACTGGAGGCAGCTGAGGGGGGTCCCAGGTGCAGCCGCTGTGGGACCGCAGGCGGGGCTGGTGTCCCCGTGTGCACCAGTGTCCTCCGGAGATACTCCAGCATCCCTGTCCTCAGATTCTAACGGGCTCCCAGGGAAATCGGATGAGCCTTCAAACCCCCCACCACCCACCCCGTCAAACCTGCCCAGTCGGACCTCACCACCTTGCTTTTTCTTGGGCTTCTCCCTGGTCTGTTCCCTGGGAAAAGGCTAAGTATGCACTTCCCCTCCCTGTACCGACTGAGTCCCTCTGGCTTTGACCGAGGACCCCATCCCTCATCCATGGAATCTGTACAAAGACAGCAAGTTGTGGGTGAGAGGAATAAAACGCCTACTCCACACATCATTTCTCTCAGCCTTTGCCAAGCTGGGGAGACACACCCTTCCTGCTTTCTTCATTCCTGGGCTTGGAGTTGGGATTGCTTCCCCTCCTCCCCTCTGCTCTCCTCCCACAGAGTCCCGCTCTCCTCACCTGCAGCTTCCCCGTCTGTCCAGGTGTGCTTCTAACAGCCGTGGGCAAACTACGGCTGCCGGATCGGGCCCGTTTGAAATGAATAAAACTATTGAAAAAAA